CGGTCACATGCTAAGTCTAGACACTGGTCAGGTGTTGTGTCACATGACTTGGTCATGTGACTATGAAAAGTCGAAAATATAAAGTAAAGTAAATGGTCACGTGACTGGTCATGTGACTTGGAAAAATAAAAGTAAAAGTACGAAAAAGGTGAAGTGTAAGTAGGTACTGGTACGTCAATTGTAACAGGAACAGCTTGCTATCTTTCTCCAAATGTGTTGCACTGGTGGAACAAATAGGGATATGCAGGAGAGGTTCCAGTATAGTGCTGATACAATTTCAAAGTATGCATGTGTTTATTCTTCAATATCATTCACTGAGTATATAACCTTGTTACTTATAGGATCTTTCACTGTATGCTCAATATGGTGGTTTCTCCTGCCCTTTACCGGAAATACATCAATCTCCCCCCTAATGAGGAGGTCCCTCCTAAAATCTGAGATGAGCCCAAGTTCTATCCCTTCTTTAAACAGTGTCATGGTGCCATAGATGGTAGCTACCATAATTGGAAGGGTCAACTCTCTCAAAATATCCTTGCTGCTTGCACCTTTGACATGCACTTTTCATATGTCCTGTCTGGCTGGGAGGGCAGTGCTGCTGATAGTTGTGTGTACAACAATGCTCGGAGGAATAGCTTTGTAATTCCTCCAGGTCTATATTATCTTGTGGATGCAGGCTTTCCCTCATGTGATTCTCTTTTGGTCCCCTACCATGGAGTATAATACCATTTGAAAGAATAGGGTAGAGCTTCACAAAGGTCTTTATTTCTTTCACTTTGATATCTCAGCTCATACTTGTTATCTTTCAGGCCGAAAGACTTCAAAGAGCTTTTCAATTTACGTCATGCTTAAGCTAGTATTGTTATTGAGCGCATCTTTGGGGTGGTCAAGAGACATTTTTGACTAATGGTTGCAGCTCCAGAGTATGCTTTGGAGGTACAAGCAAAGCTTGTTCCTGCACTTTGCATTCTTCACAACTTCATACGAGTTCATGATCCTGATGACAGTAACAATGAAGAAGGGGACAGTATAGGTGGTGGACAGAATAGTCAAGCTATGCAGCAGGATCAAAAGGATCATAGTCATGTCATCACACCTCAGGAAAAGGAGAGGGCAGTACTTAAACATGATATAATTTCAAAGGCAATGTGGGAACAGTATATCATATATACTCAAACTGGAAACTAGTAATAGTAAAGCTATTTTAACTACATGCTATCAATCTCAAGACAGATGTAGTTGGATTGAAGGACATCATCAGAGATAGCAGAATATGCATCAGCAATGGCAATATTCTTGGTGAATAGTGCAATTGCTTGTGTGCACTCAGCAGTGGCCAATGCATCATCAACACAAACAGCCTTGAATGCAGCAATTCTCCTCTTAGGTGTGCTGGGGACATCATCAATAAGCTGGGAAATACTAGGGTCAGGATGACTGAGTGATGAAGCCACAGCACTAAGTGCATCTGCAATTCCAAGGATAGCAGAAGGTCCTGTCACCTTGGTACAAAGGCGCTTTGATGCAGATGCAGGAGTGGGTGATCCAGAAGCTGCACATTTGTGTTTTAAGTTCTGAGACACTTCAATAGAATCCTAGAAGAATGAATAGTGAGGTAAAGTCAACATCAAGCCATATCACATACCTGAGACTTTTCTTCCCCATCCAAGTCTAAATCACTCTCTAGATGACTATCCGCTGTGCCCACATCATCTTGATCCACTTGCTCCTCATAAGGATGAGGCGAGGGCAAAGAAGGCTCATCAATCTCTGGGATATGAAAAGCACCCTCACCAGTGGCATAGCGTCCGTCAATGAGTCCGATTATGTCATTGTAGAGCGGAAAAGGGTTTGTACGCCATGGCTTTGCTTCTGGATGGGGCTGAGACAGATCTAATTGAGTACATCCCATACTAAATTATTGACTCTACACTTACTGCAATATAGTTATCCTACACATCTTCTTCAGCAGTTACTTTCTTTCTGGTATTATCCCATCCAAAACCAGACAGCTCTTGGAGCTGCTGAACAACAAGGCACATAGCCTTTAACTGTGATGATAAAAATCAGTACAATATATGTTGTACAATGGTTGACTTACTGTTCCCCAATGTCAGCTACAATATGTAGATGTCTTTGGTGCACCACCAGTGGTTTTATGGCTCTGCACTAGCACAACAGCTGCAGCAACAAAAGCTGGTTTTTAGAAATTAATGTCAGGTTGATTACCTTCCATTTGTGCCTCCTTCAATTTATCCACTAATGTGGCATCATCCTCTGATGTCCATTTCGCGTTTTGGGGCTCTTTTGGGGCTGAACTCTGAGATTGTTGACTAGGAGGTTGGTTCTCTTTGTTGGCAAGGAGCCTGTTTTTCATAGATGAAATCTTGAGTGTGAGCTTTTGAGAGGTCATTGGGGGCTTTTGAGGTGGGTTTGAGAGTGATAGAGCAGTGTGAGCTACTGTAGTTTGAGTGTAAAAGTTGGGAACACAATTTGCAGACCAGTGTGACAAAGTTTTTTCAAAATGAGCTGAGTTGCTGAACACGTCAGCTCGTTCCAAAATGGGCCCGTTTCGAAACAAAACGCGACTTTTTTGGCGGGTGACATTTTGAAACGGTGGCTGCTGAATGGGCCCTAAAGTCCTTGATGGTGGGAACTGTGAATTCTCCGAGTCTGGCAACAGAGTAGAAGACTGTGGTTAGGCATGCATAAACTGCAGCATCTAGTGGGTTATTGAGGTTTAATTCTGTCCTGATCAGGATTATTGGGGTAGGAGTAATGGGCTGTCGGTGTGGGCGTTTAGAGGAGAGCAGGGCTAAGTGTTGTCGATGATGAGAACTGTTGTTAGAAAACCACACACAAAAACAAACTAACACACAATCCTCCCAGATTCCACAGAACTTGTTTATGGGCTTTGCCTCCTAGAACAGTGGACTGGTCTGGTTGTTTGTGGGGTGGTACATATAAAGATCCTTCAAAGTAAAACCCAGAGGTGTATGAGTGTGGGTTTTGAGGAGGAGGGATAGTTGAATTTATAGAAGGATAGGGGCTTTGTGACAAGTATAGACGAGCACTACCTTGCTAATCGTAGCACAAGGTAGGTTTGAGAACGACAATATGACGAGGTTCCCAGTGATAGCAGGCTCCTAATGCACAAACTGTAGTGCTCAGAAGGACTCTAATCGAAATGGATGACAACAACTTCAAAAGTGGGAAGTGACGATGACAGCAGTTGACAGTGGTAGAAGTGGGAAGTGTTGTGACCACACTGGATCACAAGTAGCAGAGTAGTGAACTTGAGAGCAGAGAAGAAGTCTGGATTGGAGTTCTTGTTCTTTTTACAAGGTAAAATACAGGGGTTTATATAGTAAAAGAAAAGTAGGCTAGGCACAGTATAGCTGTGCAAAAAGAATGAGAAAGAACATGAAGGAAGGAATGTATGCTGACAAATCCTGCGTAGGTAGTACAGGATAAGATTGTCAAAAAAAGGAAAAGAAAGGGATGGAACAATGAATGCTGTGAGTAATGTCACAGGTTTGTACAGCCATAAAGTAAAGTCCAATAGCAAAAAGAGAGCAGGAAAATCATGATGTCATGGGAAGATGCAGTAAAAAAAGGGCAAGGCAAAACACTATCAGTATCAACACAGTTCCTTTATTGTCAGTCAGGCATTCTAAAAAATATGTGTCCATAAAAATAATTCAAAAATCAAAAATAATCGCACTGTAAATGAATGTTCTGCTGAAGAAAAAGAAACTGGAGCCACCGGTCCACCACCTAGTCCAAATCCGACAGTTCCATGGCCTTACCAATGGACTGGTTGTGTTGGACCACCTGATCAAACGAGGGAGGGAGAGGAGTAGTTCCAATTTGGAACAAGTGAGTCCCAGGCAGGGTGTGGTAGGTGTAGCTGTAGCGAAGACGATGGACAAAAGATAAGTGTACCCAAGTAAATGGGACAGCGATGAACATGGGCGACGCAAGGGGATGAACCTTCTCCAGCTCAAAAACTACCCACCCACGCTCCAACCAGGCAAGACGAGCGACTGATGTTTTGATAGTATATGATGGCAGATCGACGTCATGAAGATGGACCTGTTGCCCTATTTGGACCGGCCGCCGGGGCTTTGCTGATATCAGCAGTGGCACGTGGTAGTCGACGGATCGGCGACGGAAGCGGATAGGAAGTGGTGACATCAGAAATGGTGGGGGTGCAAATAAGATGAGGAGGAGGAGGGTGGAGGTGATGAAAAAGTGGATTAGAATGGGGATCCAGAAACGACCGTCAGGTGAGAATAAAAATGAGAGGAAGGGGCCCATGGTGGGGCTAGGCAAAGGAAGGGAAGTGAAGGAAACAACAAAAACGAGGGCGCAATGCAATGTGTAGCCAGTGGCGACGCGAAAATTTGCCGAAATGCCGAAATGCCGAAAGTACTGAATGGAAAAGCAAAGGTGAGCGTGACTGGATTGCCTAATAGAGGTGGTGCTGATCAGCCACAAGTTCGAAAAAGGCAATATTAATTACTATTCCACGTGGCACTGTGCCTGTGTGGCGCAAAGGCAAGTCTTTTTGAATATTCACTTCGTTATTGACACCTGTCCATGTTACCAATCAACTTTGGTGCATGGCACCGAGTCAGAATCATTCACTTGAATAGATCAATGGAGGAATGCCGGTCCTGAACAGAAGAAAAAAAAGTTCAGTATATTTGACGAGACCGGCATATTCATTGCAACATGTTGTCACAGGATTATACTTTCTGTTTGTGATATGATTGCAAGCGGTGAATTGTGAGTGCCCATTTTGTATATGAGTCGGATATTGACACATTTATTAGAGCAAAATATCCACTGGCAATTATACATAAGTTATTATCTGTGTACAGCAAAAAATGGTGGATGTGCGTACGATATAGGTTGTGCATTTTCTACCACTCTGCAAAACAGTTCCCTTGGACTGAGAGCTCGGGAGCACAACCTTTGAATGATGGTTGGTGCTTTCCATGGCCACGCTCACAATCGCAAATGCCAGCTGGACTGGCATCCGCTGTACATTGAAGGCACAGGACACAGTGAAGGCGAGGGTTGTGAGCACATATTCTCATCTTTTAACAATCTTGCTCGTGGTACTAGACATGCTTCCACCTTTCATCGACATCAAGCAATTGAACAATACTTTACGTTTTGGGATGCTGATAAGTATGCCGCATTAAGTATGTTCTACTCATGCAATGGTACCACACGCTAACATGGTGTTTAGCTACATTTTTTAGGAATCATTATCATGAAGCCTCCAAAGCTATAAACACGCTTACGGCCGAACTTGAGATTATAAAGGTTGAACTACACCTTACCGAGACAGATTTTGAATGGTTTTATGCCGAGGAACAAAAACATCTGACCACTCTGACACAATATCCAGTTAAAGACCAGCTCTACACGCGATACATTGAAACACTTGATGAATTACACACTCGACAGTATGCACTTGATTTTCTGTAGCTGTATTATATAACTGACTATTGTAGGAATGAATGGGGAAATGCACGTCAGATGGCCAATAATGCATTATCCACCTCACATAGTGGCAGTATCCAAGACATTAACAATGCTCTCTTGCAGGCTCGGATCCGTGTTGATAATGCATATGCTAGGCTACAAAATTCAGAGAAAAATGTCAGTGACCTTGAGGTACAACTATGTATCAAAGAACGATGGGCTATAGGAAGCACAGAGTATAACCGTTACCAGGAGGCTAAGTCTATTTCAAAGTATCAAACAACGGTAGACAATTTGGAGTGTCTCACTGTCATGAGGCTCTTTGAGCTGTCAAAGATTTTAATGCCAGGGACAGGTAAGATAATCCTTTGCATATTCATATATCTACCCTCAGTCTTATGGTATAGGCTACAAGCTTTGACAGCATATATCAAAAGGCTTGCAGCGGCAATCAGAGGCCATCCGCAGTGCTATAAATTGCTACAATGTCCAAGCGGACCTTCTCAACCCACCACAACCAAAAATATCCTGGAAGGATATAGCCAATTTTACATTTCTTGGTGAATTTAATCTTTTACATGATGCATGAACTGATATTTGTATGCAGGACTGGACAAAACCAGCAAACAGGGCGGCTTGTGTCAAGTATTTAAGCTATGCCGGGCTCGTGAAGAAATTGTTTGGTTGAATGTTGAAATGCACTGTTTACAAACAGCAATATACAATGAGGAAAATGAAGTTACTCAAGTCATTCAGGAACTTAATCTATCTAATCCCATGCTTGGAGGAGAGCTAAAACGACAATGGCTATGGTGTTCAGCTGTAAATCAAGTTCACTTACGCTGATTAGATTACATAGAATCAATGCCCAAATTTTCAGGGAAACGTGGCATAGGTGTCCAACTACAAGATTGCCTTGCCACTGCTGCCGAAAAACGGCCTGCCCCCTCAGGTGGTATGTTATTCTTTTTTTTTTTTATTTCACATGTCTAAAAGTGTATTTCAGACGTCGTGGATATATCAAACAAAATACTGGCTACAGACTTGCTTGTTCAGATTTAACAACAAGACAGGAGCATGCAGAAATGGTTTATGACGCTTTTAACTTCATTGGAACTCTATCCTGAGCACTGTAGTAGTTTGGTACAATACAAATGTTCTGTACAATATAACAGAAGTGTGGCTGTGGGTGGCACTTGCAGAACCTCATTTCGAGACAAAGAGACTGGTTCTTACATTATTCTATATCCTCTGACTCTGAGGGTCACTTGAAGGAGCTTTCACTGTAACTCTCATATCTTCATTGCACCACTGACCAATAGAGACAGGACACAGTTTACATTTTGGAGTTTAGCAACACTTAGTAGAGTACTGCTTGCTCGGTTCAAACTTGCGTCTTGCAACCACATTGACCCCCAATTATGAGTATTGGACCAAATATGGATGCAGTGTTGAGATCTCCGAGCTGCAATCTTACATATGAGCAGGCCTCAAATCTTTGCAAAGCTTTGCTTGTCGATTCAGCCGACACTCTTGTTGTAAAGGTACGTAAAATATCTTATTCATTGAAGTAGATCCTCATGCTGACAAGCTACAGCACTCATCTACAATGTTGTCTGCTTTCTATGGTGTGGTGTACGTCTTTTTACTGTTACACGTAGCTTGTGTCTTCATTGTTTTGTACATTTTTCAATTACGAGAATATAAACATGTGCCCTCCCGTTGTCTGAGTCAGTTCAGTATAAAAGTAGTGTAGGGCTACTGATAAACTTTGGTGCACACCCACTCTCTGTGTTGATACCCATCATCTCTTCTCTACAAGGTCTATTACCCATGGCTGGACACCAGGTATACACGGTCAGGAAATGAGGTGCCGGGGCCCGTACTCATACCAGCCCCCATGATACCCAAAGCCTAACCCGCATTCGGCCCTGTGTGTGACTTAGCAAAGAAGCAAGGGCTATTATTGCAGCAAAGCGTAGTGAGTGATCCCAACAGCTCAGGAATGATCTCGAAGCTGCTTGGGAATGCATTGACAATACAATGACGGCCATTGCAACATCAAATTGCAGGGGTTATTGGCGTGTTCAAAATGACCTCTATTTTGGCCGAGTCTTGAAGTGCCGAGAACAAAAGAAGCTGAGTGCGTGGAATGTGTTTTGCTGGAAGAAAATTTGTGAGATAGACCAAAGCAATAGTACGTGCTTTACTTACCATAAGACTAGAATGACCTGACCCATTTCTAGAAGGGAGTGGGATGGCTGTCCTACAAAGCCTTGTTCATGACCACAGTGCCGAATACCACACACTCACTTCAGACGAGAAAGCATGTCTCGTCGAAGACTTCAGAAACCACAGAAAGAGAAAAAGGAAAGGTTTTTGTATATCTACAAAATCAAGAGTGAATAATGTTACACAAACACTCCAAGCTGTAGAGTCGGAAGTGAGTATTGCCCCCAGACATCAACCATATATACTTACTTATTGCTTGCAGCTCAGCAACTTGCGCTACCAAACCGGAGTGGAGACCTTATTATATAGTGCCCGAGGCACTACCGACTTGCCATTGCATGGGATCTCTGTTGCGACAGAGGGTTCTGAGGAATTTATGCCTTCTGTGATGAGTATCGACAATCAGGACCTCGTAACAAAATTTGAGGGTTATGCTGTACAGGGTATAAAAGGTAAATTATAAAAGTTGTTAAAATGAGCAGGAAGACTTACTAGTCAGCAGGTGCAGCAAGTAATCACCGACAGTGTATTGCTAGTGTCCGAGCACAGATTCACACAGAAATAACAACAAAGCTTGGTCAGTAAAGCATATTTTCTGTTGCCTAGCGAATTGACTAACCTGCCTTAGCCGAGATTACTGACAATCCCAATGCCAAGATGCAATGGGCACAGTATTGGCCAAATGTTGTTCAACGCTACAGAGTTGATATTAGAGGCTGGCCTGAGAACATTGCTTTCAAGAACATGAGTGAAGCAATGAGCACTTTTCCAAACCTTGAAATGCTGTTGCAAAAATGGCAATCTGGAGCAACACATTGGAAAAGTATTAGCAAAAAAGAGTATATGGAAATGTCAAATAACCGCAACAGAAAACTTGATAGTGGGGAAATTGCAGACACCCATAGGCAAACTAGATCAGACAAGGGAACCAAACAGCTTTGAAGCCCTGTCAATGAGCATACAATATCCAAACAACAATGTGTAGATATATGCACCATTGATGGCAAAGCTCCTTTGACATCTTCTGCAGTCGCTATTCAGGCGGGAGGATCAACAGTCCCAAGTCAACCACCTGCCAGTGCCATTGCATTCCTCCAAAGGTCCACTGATCGCTATCACAATTCCTGGCTGGAAGACACAGGTCTTCTCTTCTCTCCGAACCCTGCTCTTGACCAATTTGAAGACATCCTTATGAATTTTGACCGTGCATATGGGAGGCCACATGATGATGTGGCACAGATGCTTGAAAGCCAACATATTGCCACACTGTTTCCAGAGTTAAGACAGCCGCTACATCTGGCTGATCAGTCAATTGATGAATGCACAGAGTGAAATTGATGGATGGCACTTACATAGGCCGCATGCTCTTCAACAGAGCATTACTCCTTGTTATATTTTGTTGATAGAGATCAGATGGCCATTTTGTTTAAACAATATATAGCACTTCTGTTAGTATAGTTTATAATACATGTGGACTTACTTTTGCGGCTGTGATGCTAGACAACGATAATGAGATGATGGTGGGGAGGCAACAATGACGACAGTGGGTAGGGAGGTGATGACGGCGACGATGGGGAGATGACAGCAACAATGGGGAGACGACAACGACAATAACAACAAGAAACGAGGAAACAGCGTGGGAAGAGCTGGTCCTGAGAGTCATTGTATATATTGTGTATGCAGAGGCCCTCAGAATCGATAAGCGAAACCCAAAGAACTCTGCCAACGGCTAGTTCTGGATTTCGGGCAGGATTTAATGCTGGTGTCTGGAGCTTTCCGTGCGAGAGCCTTGTAATAATTGGCCCAGTCAGTAACCATCCATTATTAGAAGGCTGACTAACTGGGAGGACCAGGTGCTTTAAACTTTATTTACAACTGTACAGTACCTCATGTATTTTAGTATATATACAGGAACAATACATGGGGAAGGACTTAGTGAGTCCTCCTGTTGTATCCTCACAACTAACTTGTCAAAGCCTAAAGGGTAACCACTCCCTCATCATTTACCTCTATAGTTGGTTCTAGTTGTGCGCCAGAGTAACAAACTCTTGGTTGTTACAGTTTATCTTGAGATATGCTTGGAGTGACAAAAACCTGCATGATCCTTGAGCTCTTGGAGGAGCCTGCGGAAAACTGGCTTGGAAAGCCCCATCATATTATGGAATTGACGAGGATGTCCACATAATAGCTCCCTAACCCAAGCATGACCAGTTAAAATTGAATTATGCTGAGGTGATTAAATAAGAGATGATACTGAAGCCAGTGATACAGCAGCAGCAGCTGTGGCTGAAGCCAGGGAAGCAGCCTTCCTTTGTTGAGCCTGAGATGACTTAAGGAGAGCCAAGGCAGCTGCTTTCTTTCGAGAGGAGGATGTGGTCATGATGGAGGCTCGGGGGGCAGGAAAACCACTATCTACTGATAATCTACAATGCCGAAACGCGCGTGACATGGTGTGACATAGCGTGAGAAATTTCATTTGCCTCTCAGCTCATTCAAAACGAGCGCGTTTTCAAACGGCTCTCGTTTTGAAACGGTGGCTGCCGAACGGGCCCAAAGTTTGAAAGTTTAATCCCAACAAACATGTAACTCACGCGAGCATCTCCGAAGTAAGAGATAGAAATAACCTTCAAGTGACCAAATTTCACGTCCCATCCACGAAATCATCTCCAACCAAGGGAGAAGACGCACAATGGGCAACTCAAGACAATCTTTCAGACCCAAAAGAAGCACTCGAGAACCACCTCCGAGTCAACAAAGCGCACGCACAAGCGCATCTCTTTGCTTGGAAACATCCCAAAGGCCTATGCCCGCTCTCCAAAAAAGAGTTCACGAAACGCATTCTTTCCATACCCGCCACCAACAACTTACCGGACATCAAAGGCCATAGCATTCGTATAGGTGGCACACTCGAATACTTACTACAAGGTGTACCTTTCGACGTAGTCAAAACCATGGGGAGGTGGTCTAGCGAGGCTTTCACCCTCTATCTGAGGAACCATGCAACGATATTAGCCCCATATCTGCAATCTTCTCCGGCGCTGGAACCGTTTACAAGGTACACCATGCCACCGATAAGATAATCCCAGCAAATTGCACTTCCTAACAGGTTGGTTCGAGCTTCGCTGCTCGCGTCGTGCACTCCTAATTTCTTGGGTTTTCAGCTCGCCTCGAGACTCTAGGATTTAGGCCGTGTTTCGAACCGAAAGACCCTCCGGTCTTTACCCAACCTTGCTTAAAATTCATCATTTATTCTTTCTATCTACTAGACACGAACGTCGAATACCATAGACTGAACGATAGAACGCTGATGTGGTAGCAGATGAAGGATGCACGCCACATCACTATTTCACACGTAGACTATTTTCTACGATCGACTCGTATCTCGTCTATCTTAGAATCACATCTACGCCTGAAGGCAGCTTAGGCTTTCTTTTTTCATATTTATCACTTAGACGACCTACCACACCATGTACGCGAAAGCCAAATACTTTAATTGATGAATAAAAACATACATACAACACAATTATTTTAGCTTCTTCTTCTATCGGGATTGGGTTCCTTCGTTCTTGGCAATACAATGTCATGAAAATACCCTCCTCATACAATACCAAGCATACCACGGTTCATGCAACGTTCATGGCATGATCACTGAACCTTGACCTTATGAGTGGCGGATAGCTCAATGGGCTCGTCAAAGAGGTTGATGTCCCACTTCGGCGAGTAACCAGCGGGAGTGTTGTATCTGCCGCCGCACAATCGCCCCTTTAATTCAAGGACAAAACCGAAAAATCGATATAGAACTTACCGCGTGTGGTTATTATGTCCCACAGCAGAAACCTTCTCGTAGTCCTCCTTGCTAAGCTCAACTTGTTTGAAGTTCGATATAACGCGCTCTGATAACTCAGGAATATTAGCATGAATGCGTGGGTTGATCAGAACAGATAGTACCATGCTGAACACTCTTGGGAATGACAGAATAGCCTCTGTATGCTCCCCAAGCGACAAGCACCTGAGCAGGAGTGGCATCAAGTTTAGCAGCAACTTCCTTGATAGAAGCGTGCTCAGTCAACATAGGCTTGTTGAGCACTAGATATACATTAAATATCAGATCAAATAGTAATAAATCAATAGGTTCGTACAGTTGTTGCCTAGAGGACTGTATGCAGTGATATGGATATTTTGCTCTTTGCAAAACGCAACGAGGTCATCTTGAGGGAGAAGAGGGTGCGCTTCAATTTGGTTGGCAACCTAAAGGGAGAAAGTCCCGTTGGATGTGCGAATTGAAAACGTCGCTGGAGTGACAGACATACCGGTACTACCCCAGTAGCAGCGATGATACCCTTGATGTGGTCGATGGTGAAATTCGATACACCGATAGCTTTAACCTGAAAGGCGATGAGGAATACTCAGGGAAGTGGACTATCATCAATACCTTTCCAGTCTCCTTGAGCTTAATCATAGCCTTCCAGGTATCGACCAGCGATGTTTCGGTGTCAAGATGCTTCTGGCCATTGTCCGGGTTAATTGGGTTGAGGCCCTTTCCGGGAATAAATGCGACAGGCCAGTGAACCACTTCACGATACGTCAGCCAATTGGACAGAGGCTCAAGAAGCTTCGTACTTACAATACAAATCCAGATAATCAGTTCCAAGCTGCTTCAAGGTCTCGTCTAATTCGGCCTCTGCAACCTGGGGTTGATGGGACGAGTTCCAGAGCTTCGATGTCATAAAGAGATCTTCCCGCTTGCAAACAGACGGAATGACTTTCTTGAGAGCAGCACCGACCTCGTGCTGATTCTCGTAAATCATGGCAAGATCAAGGTGACGGTAGCCAGCGCGAACTGCCCATTCAACCTAGTGACAGAAATCATAGAGTCAAAATCTGCGCATAAACACGATGAATGCGACCACATACAGCATGCTCGACTTCTTGGGGCTTAGAAAGCCATGTTCCGAGACCAATTTGGGGGATATCCTGGCCCGTGCTCAACTTGATGACTTTTCCAAACGACATGTTGAGGGTGGTAGATGAGAAGAAAGACGATGAAGATCACATTATTCCTTTGGAGAAGAAGTTTATATATGCCTCTGTCTGATCGAGTCCCCATGACCGGACCGTATCTCCGGCCCGGAATACGCCAATATAGGCTATCGATCTCTGACTGCCTTCCGTCGTCCTAACATCTTGGTCTGAAACCAGGAAAAAGAATTCCTTACGGCGGTCCGATGGCGCTCAGAAATCTCCTCCAAGTTGTGAATTTTCACCTTGATGCGGTGATTAGAGCATCAACAAAATTCAATGAACTCCAGCCATGGCATCGGCCTGCCACAACTTCCTGGACGGTCAATTGGTAACATCAGAGTTCGAGGGATAATGGCGGAACGAACTTTGTCTCTATTGATAGGCCACCCACACTACATCTGATGTCCAGATTAACCATTGTCGGAAGACGGCCTCCCTATCCTTCCAACGTGACTTGATTATGCTGTAAAATCTCGGCGGGACAGTCCGAAGGTTCCTTGACCAGAGCATACTCATCAGCAAATGACAGTCGGTTTCATTTCTCTATTCCAACCAACCCACAATCAAAGAGAAATTCTGGAATGACTGACAGTGGCTTATTCGATTACAAGAGCTCAAGTTGTCAGATGTTTTGTGAGACTGCAAAAGTCAAAGACCAGGTCCTGAAGAAGCTCGATGTTCGTGACCAACATTTGTTGAAGATCCCTCCACTAGTTCCTTGTCCTGATAACAGGATATCCTTCGGACCGCGCACATATTTTCCCATCATTTCAAGAGTAGATGGATATCAAAAAGTACGTGAGGTCGCGTCCATATGTCGTCAAAGTTTTCCAGCCTCAGGGCAAACATATGTCTCACTAAGAATCCCGCCTGGGTTGTTCCCCATAAGATTATTTCCAGATCCATGCAAAATCGAGCGAGCAACAAGATGGTGTCGAGCATTCGGCAGGAACTCTGGGGATGTGCGCACCTTGAACCTCGAAGTGAGCGACTAGCGGGGAACCGTCTTTGGAGCAACGCCTTGGAAACACCTGGGAATATACTGGCTCCATCCAGTACAGGCACTCTTGTATTCAATCCATTTCCACTGGGATCAGCATACTACACGAAGTAAGACTCGATGTATGTGACGGATTTACTGGCAGAACTTTCGAGAGCATAAATCTTGGACAGGTTGCCAGTCAGCGCCAACGTTTATCATACGTGTCATGGAGAATATTTAGCGTAGTTTAGTCTCCTGTGAGGTGTCCAAAGGATATGAAGAAAGATGAAAGAGAGTTATTGTTTCTCAACAACGGTGTGGTTCGAGGCGAAGACCGTGACCGAGAAGACCGAGCTTGTTCAGGTGGCACTGAGGAACCAGCTTTTCCAAGTCTACCATTCCGACCCAATTCCGACTATAATCAAAACCTCCAATACCGTGAACACACCATAGTAATACACTCGCATACCTGCAGGATGACATACGAGCCACACTATGGCCATCTTCCATGCTACCAAAGCCAGCCAAATCGCGGACAAGCTCGTACCCACAATCTCAACAGTCAAAATGTCATGGCCTACGACTGGAACGCCCTCCAGTCAGATGCCGCTTTGGAGGCTGTCTATCATGGTGAATATGGTTTCGAATATAGCTGGGATCTGAGTGTAATGCCATCTTCTTGAATCACAGCGCAGCCTTCGCATCCGTGGCAATCAATTTCAAGCCTCTATCAAGCCAATGATGATAGCTACCATAGCATACGCGAGCTTAAAAATCTTTCACTTGAGCCCACCTATGGTCATCCTTACAACCCCAACCCACCATCAGCACATCAATATTCCCCACGTAACTCTCAACCAAAGGCTTCGTCTATGACTTTGAACAATCATGATAGCCGCAATCATCCCCCTTCGAGTGCTAGCCTCCTGCCAGCTGCCAGCATCACTGAACATATCTCTGATTGTCGCACTCAGCAGTATCAAAACAGTGACATCTATCCCTTACAGTCGCAGACTGCGTCCATGCCCATCTCATTACGCGTCCCAGTGTCGAGCGAGCAGATGACACGCGTCATTCCCGCTTCTTATATGCTCCCCAAAACTCCAGGTACGAGCACAGTAGGAAGAGTAAATGAAACTTAATGGCACATCTGTTATGTGATTTTAGAAATTTTCGGAAAACAGGGGCTCGCCACTAGCCATAGTATGCTTTACGATACGCTCGATTATCTTGGTCATGAGCAGGTTTCAGCTCATCAAAATTTCAGCGACACTCTTCAAAATTTGACTCACAGGAGCCTCACCGAGCACAAGTTTCTCAACGCAGTTGTACCCCAAGCACAAAGTTCAAACAGCATGACCCTCCCATCGGATGCCACAACTACCCTCCAGCACTCCCGAGAACATATTGTTTTAGGCCCCTCTCCATGTGATGCTGGTCGCCGTCAACCATCTGCTAGTACTGTTTCACTCGATGACACCAATTCATCGTCGTCGGATCACAAGTTGACAGGAAGCTCGAGTTCCAGGATTGCACCAGTTTCTCAAGAGGTATTGTTCGCATTGACAGAGCCCTTTCTTCTTGCATGGTGTCTCAGAGACATTCCGCCTGGTTCATCTTGCTTTTGACCAAAGGAGGCAATCCTGCCAAGCTTCCCTTTTTCGTGCCGTCTCATCAAGTATCAAGTAATCAAGGACCGTAGGAACCTAACATCAGTGCTTCAAGTATCACTAAGGCCATTGCGCAGTCATATCCATATCAACTTCTTGACAATGATACATTACTCGTGCTTTATATTTGCTGTATAATGCTTCGTACCATCCATTATGACTAGAATTATTCCACCAAACCAAGTATAAAGTAAATGGGATGTTGTTATAAACCAAGCAAACGACTGTATGACTACTAAACTAAATGTGACCCCTATCCGTATTCTACATCATGTGTCAGCGAACCTTACGCGCCTCTTCTGCCTTGTTGCTGAGAATAACCTCGCTCTCGATCTCGAACCGACCGCTCTGTCTGAGACGGTCAAGTAAGACATCACCTAGTGCACTCATAGGGGTGAGTATCCCGCCCTGGCGCCCATGTGCTGGAAGTTCATTTTGATCCAGTAGGAGCCCAAGAGCAGACTCGGATATCATCACTGCCAGCTCAGTGGTAGGTATATATGGTACAAACGAGCAAATAGATTGCTGGACTTACCTGAGCTTAGGAGATACCCTGGGTCACCACGTCCACGGAAGGTGCTCTTGACACTGGTTTTGCGCTCACCGACGGTTGTTGAAGATGTGATGTTGGTTACTTCGACAAATCCTTTTTGGAGTTTGCTGATGAACACTGTGTTAGTTGAAGTGGAAAGGACGAGTTTAAGCAATCACTGAACTCGTCAGAAGGACCGCTGCCTGGAGGTGCGAATGTCTTTACTAGCCAACGAACCTGGACAGAAGAATGCACTAATATCAGATAACTGTTCACGAAGATATTGCGAGGGTACATCGAATACATACTGGAGGGATAAAGGCGAGACTCAGTGCACCGAATAGTAGCATTGTGCTAAATGCGATAGCATGGAATATGCTTGGCAAGGACAAAAATTCGTCATACTTGAACTCCGGACCATACGACGAGGCCTTTTCAACCTCAGTACAGCTCCTTTTGCGGGTAGCGGCTTCATGCAAACCCCATGTGCGGTGAACTACGGGCCTGTTAATAAATGTCATAGGGAAATACGAGCCCCATGACGTTCGTGGTGTTAAGGGAAGTGAGTAGAGGAAACGAGGCTTGGGATTTGGGACACCCTTAACTTTAACAGTGTAAGTATCGATCCTCACGTTGTTACAGAAGTTGATATGGAATGTTTACACTCACCGGGACTGAGCACGAAATCGAGCCGTGCTGCGCGAAGCTTGTCGCGCGGTACATCTTCTAGCGCTGTGATAATTGATGATATAGTGCCTCCTGAGACGCCTCCTTGGACCTTCCATGACGAAGTAGACAAGTCTATTGTGGTAGTTGGACCAGCTAGATTTTTGAGAGTCTTGTTGGAGATATGGACTACGGCATCGGAAGGGACGGAATCGAGCCCGCAGCAGGGGACGATGACAGCTCCGGTTTTAGTGGCAACGTAATCGAACCTGTGTGAGCAGAATTAGTTAGGCCCAAATGAAATAGAGAGGCAAGATAACGGACTCGTGTATTATGTCCTTCACCCAGGGCGTTTCGCCGGCAAGGTCAACATAGTGTTTTCCATGCTGCACGCATGATCTGCGTTAAACGTCATGAACACTAACTGCGGGATGACAGAGGCGGGGTGCATACCGTACGACTGGTGTTCCCCAGCGCCAGTACGGTCCCACTGCGTTTATGACGACTTTGGTCTTCTGGACGGCTGCATCAATTTGCTCTGGGTTTGCTATGTCGAGGATGAAAAGTTGTACGGTGCTGTCGAGAGAGAGGTCTGACACGAGATCGTTAAGTTTCGACCTGGAGCGTGCTGCGATTCCAAAAGAAAATGAGGAGCGCTCGGGGTGGGCGTAAAGGTAGCGGGTGATTAGTCTTCCGGTGTAGCCTAGTCCAATGTCAAACCTATGTCAGAACCTAGTCGCACAAACATAGAAACACTGACCTGTAGCACCAAGAACGATGATATCGACCATTTCAACGGTCGCAGCAGTGGCAGGATGCAAGGTGCAGGACGGACTGTATACTGTATTATTCTGCGCACACCGGCATCCGGGTTGGAGTGCACCGCCTCTGGAGCGGTGTGGGCGGTGTTGGGGACTGCTTAGTCATCGTGAGTTCGATTGCTGGGACAGTGCTTCGTTACACGGTGCTGCACCTCAAATAAGCTCCCAAGGTCATGTTGTAAGCCATTCGCCTCTTGTATCTTAACCACTACAGCCGACATACCCCTTATCCTTTTTTTGTTCTGAAAACAGCTCTCAAAATGCAGGCAATTTTCAGCAGCAACAGCATCAAAACCAGCCATCACCAATCGCTCCCTTCATTTCGCCACCGTCTACTATGGGATTTGATGGGAATCCTTACTTCAACCTGGACCCCAGCTCAGCCGCGAAGCAAATGGCAGCTCTCAATGCTGCTAACGTCGCAAGGGTTTCAAACGGTCGCTTGTCGGCGGCTTCTGCATCCCAACAACCTATGGGCGGAACAACCCCGGGTTCATACCTCGGAGGAATGTCGTCCTTAATTAATCAGCCCAATGGTCTCGCTACTGCTTCTCATAGCAATCCTCTCCATATTGGCGCGCTGGGTTCACTTTCTGGCCACCCCAACTCTCAGGCACCCGCGTACCCCATGCACCAGCAACCCAACATCAATCTCTCGTCTAACCCTCCCCTCGTCGATCATTCTATCTCTCAGATGAGCCTGGCTCCCCGTCAGCTTCAAACTCCTGCTGCCTTCAAGCTTAGACAACGAAATTTCCTCCAAGGCATAGCGGGTTTACATGCGAGCCGTAACGCACCATTACCACCAGCTCTGAGCGGTCATCCATATCCTGTTGGCTACGACCCATCCCAATCACAGTGGAAATCGATAGAAGTCACGAATGAGGTTGGCGTCTTTCGCCTCGCAGGAAAAGATGTGGACCTTGTAAAATTATACGGGCTTGTGTTCCAAAATGGAGGCTATCACAAAGTGCGTGTCCTTTTGTTCGCTTTTGCTTCAAGTATACCTAAATAAAGCATAACAAACGTAGTTCAATCAACAAAATGCTTGGACGCAAATCCTGCATCATTTCGACTTACCTGAACGTTTTCCCTTTCCCCAGCCAAACGGTCAACAGTCTGTCGCCGCGACTCTTGCAAACTATTATGCTGCCATACTACTTCCATTCGAGGATGTTTATAAACGAAATGTACAAGACCATCACCGGAAAGCGATGATGGCAGTTGGACGGCAGCCTAATGCCCCACAGGCGCCTAACCCAGGGTCAACGACTGGACCTTATCAAGGCGCAACTGGCGGTCCAATGCAGTCGGGTTATCCATCCCAAAATACTGGGGGCAATATGAATAACATGCTTGGAATGTTGGGGCAGCCAGCTTCAAGTACACATACACATGATTCTACCATGTCTTTGAACGATTCTCCACAATTTCCTCCGCCTTTGCAATCTATGCCCCATAGCCCTCATCAAAGACAGTCATCTTCTGGTCCCATGATGCAATCACCGGGACCGCTGTCGAGCGGAAATCTGGATACTTTCCCAGCTCTACCGGTTACCCAATCACTAAATGGCTCATTCCCCGGATCACAAATTTCTCAGGAAGGGCCAAACCTATTTGAAGACAGCATGTCTGGGGGCAAGAGAAAACATGAATCTGGTGAGATGTTTGGAAAAAGGGCACGACCAAGAAAAGGTGAGTCAACGTATTGACGTAAATCCATTATGGTTCTCGGCTAACTTATTTCAGATGGGTCGGAGCCACCAGAACAAGTTCTTGTGAGCGCTATCTGCTTAATGCGTTTCTTCTTTGTTCTGATGTGCCTCTTTTAACGCCGTTTAGCCCGCTTCTTCAGATAACACGACGATGTCCTCAAATGTGCCACCGGGCAATGCTGCGTCCTCTTCACCCAGTGCATTATCGAATTCGACCCGTTCACGACCTAAATACACACGCTGGAAAGTGGAATATCTTCCTATTGCCCGTGAGGTTGAAACATGTGGAGGTCGCGACATAAATCAAATGGAAGAAGAGTATGTGCGAGCACGACGGAAGCCTGTGCGAGATATCAACGACTGGGGAGCCGTGGATATTGAAGCGTTAACCATGTCCCTTCGTTCACGACTAGCCACCGAGTTATCATATGGGCTGACGACTTTCTCGCTGCTGTCAACGATGAGAGGTCCGACTCAAGGTTCTGGTTTTCCGATATTTCAGTGTTTAGACCTACTGGAAGAGGTACTGGATCTTATGGAAGAGCAGGCCTTTGAAGGCACTCCGGATGTGGCCGAGTATGCTTTGACGGAGGAGACATGCATACCACGGCATCGAGAGCTCCTCGATACAGCCTACGATGAAGAGTCGCAACATTTTGCAGGACTCCAACCACGACAAGGATCTGGAGATTCAAGCTATGGGCCGCGGCAACGGCCGGGCACCATAATTCTGGCAGTCATGAATATTCTACGCAACCTTTCCATCATAGCTGATAACATGACGTTCTTGGCACACCATGAGCGCGTACTTGATTTGGCTCTGCGTGTCTGTGGCGTTACCGTTCAAGATGGCAGTCCTCCTCGTGCAAACTCCCCTGCTCTCTCGCTCATTGACGTAGCCACTGTGCGGAAGGATACCTTGTACATTCTGACAAGTATAGCTGGGATGATTCAATATCCCCCTTCTCGTTCGCCATCTAGTACCACCACGCGAATAGCAAGCCGGACATTCGAGCTTATAGCATCTTTCCTTATTGACCCCGTGGACGCGGTTTCTCCAGTTACATACCTTAGACAAACTGGCGGACCGCCAACGTCTAGTAAACCGCCACCACTCTCCGATATTGCTCTGGAAGTTTTCACGCGTCTTGGCCATCCTGATCATAATCGTATGGTTTTTTCGAAAGTCATTCCACAAACGTGGCAATGGCGCTTGTTCGAGGCGCTGATCCACAGACTACCAATATCAGACGCTGACTACGGGCTGTTGGCCCGTGAGGCCTGGTTGAGTTATTTGGAGAAACTCACCATGGCGATATATGCGCTCGCCTTCCTGGCGCCCCCTGATTTGAAACAAAAAATAAAAATGGACCGCAGTCTGAGCTTTTCTCAGGTGATGTTGAGGATGGTGCAGAGGTTACTGGTGGGTCCCAACCCAGAAACGCGTGCATGGTATATGATAGCCGCGCGGAGATCTGTGGAAGCTATGAAAGTTGTGGATGGATGTGAAGATTCGTTTGATACTTCTCAGTCTACCGTGCCAACGCTAGCTTTTGGTGTTGGGTATGGTGAGGCTGGAGATAATGGAGTTGAAAAAGGCACGGGGATGCTTGGTGGTCGGTGTGAGGTTGCATGGGATCTGCTTATGCTGCGAGATATGGAACCACCTATGTTCGCCGAGTTGGAGAGTCTTATGAGGGTGGAGTAATTGGATATGGATTCTTTGGATGGGTATTTCGCTGTTATATATGGATCTCGATGGGACTTGTTGTGCCGTAGAGGTCATCGAATGTAAATTATGTGTTGCCTTGCTTTGTGGTTATCCTGGAAATTATTGTTTGTATTGACCACAGTAAAATTTGATTTTCCCTGCTTATTCTTAGTGTCTGTCAAAGAAACTAGGTACTACAACAAATCAAAGTTGATAACATAGAGTTAAATGCTGTAATCCCAAGAAACGTCGTGTAAACAAGGCTATCAACCATCAAACATAGTGCCGTCCATGCGAACACCCATATTCTGCTTAACATCCATGCCCAATAGTTTCATTTTACTGGCCTAGACAGACGGTTAATTAGCTCCACGTCAGCTCTCGGCTCTCAGAAGAAGAAAGTGAAGCCCACCTCAACTCTCTCGTGTTGGACTCTACGAAGCTCCTGTAGTTGCTCCTTGTTCAGATAACTTTCATGTTCGACTGATTGCTTCTTATGTCGACTCTGATGAGCTCGCAAGTCGGCCATGGGATCATATGCGTCGTCAGAGGGCGGGACAAACTCTCCAGAACGCAGTGAAGCCATGCGCCGGTCGTAGGCTTCCATGTGATAGTATTTTTCATGGGGTAGAGTGGCTATAAAGGATGTAAGCGTGTAGGAGATGGTGGAAGAACGCGAAGAATTGACCAGTATTGAAGTCTTCGACGAATACGACAAACTCTTTACGCTCTTGGTCTTTGGAAATAGACTCTGGATTTATTTTACGTTCTTCTAGGAGCCAAGTCCGGAATTCTTGGGATTTATTATAGAAACTGGAGTGCTGTCAAATTAGGGGTTTTCTCTGCGTTTGCTAAAGGACTCACTCAGTTTCACTGATTATACCATGTTTACCCCACTGTGCGCTGGCAGCAGCGCTTTTCTTCTTCTTATGAGGGTTGATAGAGACGATATCAGAGATGTAATCATAGCAAGTTTACTTTGCAACTCACCTTCTTCTCCTTCTTTTCTTTCTTGCGTTCTTTCTTTTCTCGACTTCTGCTCCTTTTCCTGTGTTTATCCTTCTTGCGCTTACGCTGTTTCCGCTCCGAGTCTGAGGAGTCTACGCTGGACCTCGAGCGCGACCTCGACTTCGACCGACCTCTTTTCGGACGATCATCATCTTTCCTTCTGGCTACATCTTTGCCACGAGAACGTGAACGTGAGTATGACCTTCGCCTTCTCGGGCTGCGCGAGCGGGTCCTTGAGCGTCGACGAGACCGATAAGGTGACCGAGAGCGGGAACGAGAATATCGGCGATGGTCCCTCACTGTGCTCCGTTCTCCTATCCTCTCCTTTTCTCTACGAGTGCTGAAGTCTCTATCTCTCCTGTGGTGGTCCTCCTTACTGCGACTCCTGCCTCTGCGAGAGGTTTCTTCTCGGGCAAATTCAGTCATGACTGTATGATTGTGGTGGCTGTACCAATTGGCGTGGGGATAAGGCGCCACTCGGTGGTTGTTTGGATCCAAAGCCTTTGGTAAACAAATCCAGATATGGATGCGTTGCCGACACCAAGTCACGTGAGTATGTATCGTGGCCGAAATTCCGTACAGCCATTCCAGCTTTTGACCGAAACTTTGACAATCTTGGGAAGGGTAAGGTTCGTTGCGTTTCTGGATTCACCTTTCAAAGGGAAACACGAATTCAGCTCAAACCTAAATACCGGTCTTTGCCAGGAAATGTCCAAGTCTCGCCGCAGTTTGTCGGGTTTGGGCTTCGAACGCAAGCGGTCCATGGCTAACGACCTTTCCGCCATTCCAGAGACGCCTGTCGTCTCGACGTCTGCCCTCTCGTTTCAACAACCAATGTACAACACTGGACAAGGTAATTCTCAGCCTGACCACACCCGCAGTCCGTCTCCACCAGCTTCCAGCTACTTTCCTTCCGTATCCCAGAGCCAAGTTGGAGAACCACAACCTACACCTGGAGCCAACTCTCATTTCGCATACAGTACTCAGCTACGTCGACATAATGCTGAAGGCTCTCTCAGTATTCCTCCCAATTTCAGTGACATTGCGAATGCCGTCGCTGCAGAAGGCCCAACCGGTCTCTGGAATAAGGCTGTCAACGCTGTCAACGTCGTCACAGGGGTCACCGGACAACGACATTCACATAGCGACTCCCTCGATAATGCGTATATTCCCCTACAGGTGCGAGAGCACAAAGAGGAGCGACGAGAGACCCCCTCCGCACGTTTCGCTCATTGCAGCGTCGAGGTGCGTTCCTTTTCTGCTTGGCGTCTCGCCTGGTCATAGGGTGGCTATTATTACGGCCATTATACGGCCATTAGAGGCTTGAGAACTTGGCGCTGCGAAATTTTCTGTTTTCTAGAATGTTTCATGGATTATGGATTTCTAGAAAGCTGACTTTTAGTGATCCGTTATCGTATATCTCTCGGTTCCATATGGGGTTTACCGATGCTTCTTACAAATACCCCTGATTAGTTACAGCAGAATCATCTCTTCGATTTCATCATTTCCCATTGCTAAGTACAAGTACTGATCATCTTATTCAGGACACCATATCTCACTTCCAAACAACTGCCCAGGGTGGCCTTTCCGCGTCTTCAATACCGGGCCTCCAGGTCATCCATGGCTACAACGAATTTTCCGTGTCTGCCCCCGAACCTGCGTTGATCAAGTTCGCTAAAACCATATATGAAAGTCCACTCATCTTGCTGCTGTGTGGCAGCGCTGTAATTAGTGCTGTAATGGGGAATATCGATGATGGAGTCAGCATCACTGTAGCTGTGCTGATTGTTCTAACTGGTGCGTCCGCAGTCCTCGTTATCCCGTATCATGCATCTTCACACGGCCGTCTCAGTTGGGTTTATCCAAGAGCAGCGATCCGAAAAGAGCTTAGAGGCCCTAAATAAGTTGGTTCCACACCATTGTCACGTCATACGGTACTTGTGCTTGCTCTATCGAGTATGTTGACGTTCCTGATCGTTGCATTAGCGACAACAATACCGTACATGTCCTTGCTAACGAGCTTGTTCCTGGGGATATTGTCACTCTCACCACTGGGGATCGCGTTCCCGCTGACATCCGAGTTGTTTCGGCAATCGATCTAGAAATAGATGAAAGCAGCCTTACTGGAGAGACTAATGCGCGACGTAAAGATGCAAAAACTTGCGAATTTGAGTCGAATATTATTCAATCAGGTATGGGAAATGGCTATGTACCACGCGAACCAGTCGCGTTGGCGGAGAGGTCGTGCATAGCATACATGGGGACATTGGTGAGGAATGGTAAGTTTGTGCATGTCTTGCCTACTCAGTGTAATGACATCTTGGTTTTGAAGGGAGGGGGTCTGGGGTAGTAATTGCTACAGGATCTCAGACTGAGTTTGGTGTTATTTTCTCGATGATGCAAGATGTCAGTACATCATCTCCTATTGGGATTAGCATTGTCTGATATCATTTATTATAGGTCGAGGAGAAGCGTACACCACTCCAGCTAAGCATGGACGAGCTTGCGAAGGGCCTATCCATACTCTCCTTCATCATCATAGGCTTCATCTGCCTAATTGGAATCGCGCAACAACGTGCTTGGCTTGATATGTTTACCATTGGCGGTACGTCTCGTTTCGTGCCTTGTCTCCACATATGAGAGGTTTGCGAAAACATTGTTCACTGACATTGATTAAGTGTAGTCTCACTCGCTGTAGCTGCCATTCCTGAAGGATTGCCCATTGTCACTACCGTGACACTTGCGCTAGGCGTCTTACGCATGTCGAAACGGAAAGCTATTGTGAAGAAACTGCACTCTGTGGAAGCTTTGGGATCCGTATCAGTGATATGCTCCGATAAAACAGGTGACACACAGTCAATCCTTACAGTCCCCTAGATACTCATTTTATATGGCAGGGACACTAACCAAGAACGAGCAAACAGTCACAGAGATATATGTTGTGGATGAAATCGTACATGTGGACACAGGTCCTTCCACTGAAAGCATTTCGCCTGCAGTAAGGAAAGCGTTGGAAGTTGGGTCCTTATGCAATAACGCATCTTTGTCAAGTAACGAGGATGGTGTCCTTGTCGGACAGTCCACCGACGTTGCTCTGCTGAATGTTCTATCTGTGTTCGGAATTCCAGATCAAAGAAGTGTAAGCACAGGACATCGTCCCTTTATCATTTAACTAACCTTTCACTTTGTGGTTAGTCTTTTACTCGTCTCTCAGAACGACCATTCAATTCAGAGCATAAATATATGGCTGTGAGTGGCATTCACGCCTACTCAACAGCCCTCTATAGTGGCGGTCCTCGGGAAATATATTACATCAAAGGATCCATTGATGCCATTCTCGACCGCTGTAAGTATTATTTCGTTGCAGACGGCTCTACTCCACTTCTCGATGCCAATACGCGGAACGTTATTTTAAACAACGCTCAAGCTACTGCGTCACGAGGTCTCCGGGTTATTGCCATGGCTTATGGGTATGGCTCTGTTGAATCTCCTGGGCCTGACACCCCATCGACGCCTACACAACTTGGGTATCGCGTTAGTCCGTCGGCACCTGCAACACGACCATCAACGCCAGACAAGGACAAAACAAACCTCATCTTTGTCGGTTTTCAGGCGATGCTGGATCCCCCGCGGAAAGGCGTTGCAGATGCAATTGGGCTTCTCCAATCAGGAGGTGTTCAGGTAGTGATGATCACTGGTGACGCGGAGCATACCGCTCTTGCCATTGCACAGAAACTCGGTTTAAGGATTGGCCGTAGTGCCACGCATTCTGTTCGAGGTAGTAGCAGTTATTGCTTGACGGGCAAGGAGATCGATCAGATGAGCAAGGCACAGCTTGTGCAGCGCGTTGGAAGTGTGAGTGTCTTCGCAAGGACAACGCCACGTCACAAGATGGCCATTGTGGAGGCCTTCCAAGCACGAGGTGCTGTGGTAGCAATGACAGGAGATGGAGGTGCGTATTTTACCTATTTATGTTATACTATACTAGCAGCACTTACGGGTCGTATTGTCTTGTTCTTCAAAGTGAATGATGCCCCCGCGCTGAAAATGGCTGATATCGGCGTGTCTATGGGTAAAAGCGGAACGGATGTAGCCAAAGAAGCAGCCGATGTCATACTTGTCGATGACAATTTTAGTACGATATTACCTGCGGTAGAAGAAGGTGCGGTAGCTTCTCGGCTCTCCATGCATTAGCTTGTTTTAACCATCTTCTTCGGGACCTGTGGGTGATCAGGAAAATCTATCTTTCACAATATTCAAAACTTCTTGGCGTTCCAACTGAGCACCGCGGCTGCTGCCTTGGTGTTGATCACAATCAGTACCATGTTTGGCTTCAGCAACCCTCTGAATGCCATGCAAATACTATTTATCAATATTTTAATGGATGGTGGGTAGTTCAAAGGCTCTGCTGCTGTCCAACTAATTTCATGTGGTGTCCGTAGGACCTCCGAGTCAATCGCTCGGCGTTGATCCTGTTGATCCCGCTATAATGCGGAAACCTCCCAGGAAGAAAAACGAGCCTATAATTACCAAACAACTATTATACCGAGTTCTATTTTCGGCAGCCACTATTGTTTGTGGCACATCATTCATCTACACTCTTGGATTACACGATGATCATGGGTCAAGTAGGGAGCAAACGATGGTTCGTTTATTATTTCATTCACTTCTAGCTCAAATGACTGGAAAATACCCACGACATAGACGTTCACTGGCTTTGTATTTTTGGACCTCGTTTCTGCAGTCCAGAACCGTGGATTAGGATGCGGCCTTACCCAAAATAGGATGCTCGTGACAACGGTTTCAATATCCTTCATCGTACAACTTGCACTGGTGTATGTGCCCTTTTTACAGGCGATATTCCAGACAGAGGCACTTTGCACGCAGGATTTGTGTACACTCTTGCTACTGGCGTCGGCGTCAATGGCGTTGCACGAAGGACGGCGACATTATGAACGTAAATTGAATGCCTCTGCGACGTATGCAAGTGTTATGGAGGAAATGGCTTAAGCAGGTGAGGTGGTCCAGATGTTACTGTCTTGCCCTTGTTCTAGATATCTAGAAGGATTTGCATATAGGACTGTATAGCATTTAGTAAGAAGATTACACAATTTATTTTCTCGTACATACTTGCAAGATAATGTGTATATTTAAGCGTTTCTCAACACATAGGGAGACAGTTTATCGATATGTATTATGAAAACAGCTGGAAGGAAGGAATCTCTGATTCTTTCTGCTTCCTCCTGCATTATTTTATCACTCTCCTGCACGTGATGTTACTCGCCTTATCGACCGGATCTGGCTTTCTCATCGACCACATGCAACTGGATACTACTGGAGAGCATTCTCGAGCGGGTGGACCACCTGAGGCATTCTTCCATAGAAGTGACAGCTATAGGCTATTATAGGCTCTCGGGCTTGTCATGGTAAGCTGTACTGCTTATAATCTGCTTCCGCTAAAAGCCGTGGACTCTGCCAGGTAGCACTTTTTTCTACTAACTTGGAAGGTCCAACAAGTCGAGAATCGTCCAATTTGGTCATTCCTGACGCACCAATGCAACGGGATAGCTGGTAGAAGAAATTTTGCAACAGCACTTATTGTCCACAGGTGCCGCAAGGAAGGTCAGCAGTATCTTTGAAATGCCAACCAATGCCACTGACACATTGCCAGTGATGGAGCCTTGTTCCTTGATACCAGACGAATTGATTTGATGTAGTTTGCACTGCCACCCAATGACTATGTCAAAGCATCCGTTTGGGACGCATAATATTGAATTAGGTAAGCAAGGGAGACATCGACTGTCTTCCTCCTAAATGGTATGCCTAGGGGAGACTAGAGACATCCGCACTGTTTAGCATGAGGTCCTAAAGATATAGGTGACCCTTGTTTTTTTTCCGTTTGGATTTGCTGAATGTTGTAACAGTATAGACTACCAACGTCGCATGATCCTGACACTAGGACCTTCTATCAAGAAGATCCAGCGACACTCTCCGGGCCACCCAAGCCGGCGTTCTTTACTCAGAGCTTTTGCCGAGAGGCGAAACTTATAGACTGCCATCGCATCAATGTCATAGTGGACAGCTTGAACTACTGCCGTGTTCCTTGCAGATTTTTATATCTTTATTCGACCAAGTAGATCCTTTTCTGGCCTACATTGGCTCCATGGGGAAACAAGTAGTTTCACAGACTTCAAGCTTCAAGGGACTATGAAATAGGCATCTTCGGTCATGGTGTAGTACATGAGGGCCACAGAGCTCCGATCGACGGCACCAAGAATGTCGACTTTTGACTGCTGAAACCAACCTAAGCAAACTAGGGCACGAGATTGAACTGCCTTAAAGACTCGACATACCAGATTTGGGGATACTCGAGATTCACCTGCCAAATCATGGCCGAGGTACACTCCGAGTACGTACACTCATGCTGATTGATTCTGGCATACACAGACTGGCGCTCATGTTCGCTTGTCCTCGGATTATGATTTCATGCCCCCTTTGAATGCCGGTCGGGTGTTCAAATTTCTCTGCAAAAAGTATATAACAATAAGAAGAATTTGTACCCATATGCGCATCGCTTTACGTGACCCAGCAGTCCAGTCATGGGCAATACCCAGTCATCACCCCGCAACAAAACAAAAGGTACCCAACGTCAACATCGCACTATTCCAAGATCTCATATCACTGTGGATCGCAAACCCGATGCAACCTTCAACAGGTCGATCTCGTCGCAAGAAACATTCTATAACGATACACGCTTAACGAAAAAGCAAAGTGGCGAGGGGTTAGCATATGTCCCTCACATACCACCCCCTCATCCTCAGGACGATGTTGCAAAGGCATATCATGCATTCCTGAAAGCCTTTCCAGAATATCAACTAACTTGGATAATGGATACACTGCGCCGAACTGATTTTACGAGATTGGATCGTGCAGAGGAAACTTACGTGGATTACATGGGTGGCGCGTTGTATCCAGATAGCCTGGTCCGGGCCCACAGCACTTTCCTCACCCAACACATTCTGGGAAACACCCATTCGTCCAGCAATAGGTGTGTCATTTACATAGCTACTATCATGACGTATGTGACCACTTTCTCACATCACATTAGCTCCAAACTTTCATCAGGGCATGCCGAAGAAGCACGGAAAGCCGTCCTATCATTTTTCAAGGCACCCCCAGGCTACACAGTTATATTTACTCCCAATGCCTCTGGAGCATTGAAGTTGGTTGGAGAATCATATCCGTTCGTTGAAGGGAGCAGTTACGTTCTTGGTGCAGATTCTCACAACAGCGTACATGGCATCCGCGAGTATGCATCGCGAAATGGTGCGCAAGTGGACTATATCCCTTCCACAAACACTGGGGGCTTTCTTATTTCTACCGCACAGGTGACTAGGACATATATTTATATCGGCGATTTTACTGAATAACATCTCACACTTGACAGAACATCTTGTCACGAAACAGACCGAAATCGCAGGATAATTTCCCATGTCTTTTTACGCTCACTGGCCAATCGAATATATCAAACGCAAAACCTGATCTTACAATACTTGAATATGCTTCTTTGTTGGGCTATGACACGCTTCTTGACGCCGCAGCTCTTGCGCCCACGTCTAGTTTCTCCCTGTCGGAGACACCTGTCGATGCGATGGCCATCAGCTTCTATAAGATGTTCGGCTATCCGACAGGTATCGGTGCCCTTATAGTAAAAGAAGCCTTCTTGGAGAAACTGAGACGACCGTGGTTTGCTGGTGGGACCGTAGATGTCGTACAGGTTCCTGGTTCCATCATTACCAGAGCTCACAAGCTACACGAACAGTTTGAGGCAAGTTGCTCGTTCGAGGGCAGTATCATTCTTTATTTGTTTACTGTTAGCGCCAATACAGGATGGTACCATAAATTATATGATGTTACCTGCGGTAACCAATGGCCTTCGCTTCCTCTCTACTTACCTTCCTTTTCTTCCACTTCGACTTTCCTCTCTATCACACTTCCTTATCACATCTTTGGCACAATTACGACATGAATCAACACGAGGACCCGTCGTTCGCATACTATCGGAGGTTCCATCGCGCCGGTTAACTTCAGTTGGAGAACAGGCTGACACTGGCTTTGTAGTTTCCCTAATATTTATATCCGTGGGTTTCCTTTGTTGTGGAAGAAGACTAATTGTACGACTCATGCGCTTGGTATAGCCTTCTGGGGGAATGGTGCCTAATTCGTTTGTGGAGTATGTTGCTGCACTCCAGAATATCTCTCTTCGGACTGGATGTATGTGTAATCCAGGTGGCGCAGCGGCGATTTTAGGTATTGAAAATGATATGGCTCTCCTTTATCCCGGAGTTACCTTAAAGGACTTCGAGACCGCTGTCGGACGAGAGTTGGGCGTAGTCAGGATCAGCCTTGGACTCGCAAGCTCATTCCAAGATGTCTGGAAGATTGTGCAGTTCGCTGAGACCATTGCAGACGAGAAATCGCGACAGTCCTTATGGGACTCTTGGACAAGTCGATCTGCCGGGCAGGCCGTGTAAGCGTACGCCAGTCGTATACGGCATCTATCTGAGGAGGAGCTTGACAAGCAATGATGGGGTATCAGGTGAATCAAATGTGTCACATGATAGGGAAACAGTTGTATCTTATTAATAACTTGTATGTGGTTTATATTATTGTCTACTATACTGTACAGGTTCTGCACATCAAGTGCAATGTTTCAAAGTGCTTCACCTATATTACTTCCTTATAATAACAAACCAATACAATGGGCACTGTCATATTTGATTCTTGTATGATATATAAGACGAGTTGTCAATGAATCTTCAAGTAGACCTAACACATACTCCACGACAAACAATGGTATATAGTCCTAATCTTCTTCCTCTTCTTCATCCTCTTCTTCATCCCCCTCATCCTCAGAAACATCAAGCCCAGCCGCCCTAAGCCTCTCCTTATCCTTCTTTCGCTTGGTGCTGACCTCATCCAACAATACCAACAAGTCCTCTTGCTCCTTCTCAAGTTCTTTATTTTTTTCATCAGTCTGCACAAGCCGTGCTTCCATTTGTGATACTTGAGCCTGAAGCTCACTTAACTAATCAAACGTGTCAGCCACATATTTGAAATCCGATGCACGAATAAGCTCACTTTCGTTTCCCAGGCCGAAGCTTCTCCGATCTTTTGCTGCATTTCCTCTAATTCCTGAGCTTGTGATCGGATGACGTCTCGTAGAGAGCTGATGAGCATTGCAGATTCTGCACTTGCGCCTGTAATATAAATATTTTCAAAATCTGGATCCAGCACATTTAGACAAACATATGTACCTGCAGAGGGCGACATGGCATTAGGATCGGTACCAAGGCCCCTTTGAATGGTATCTAATAGATCTCAAAGTCAAAGCCTGGATTTTTTTGAAGAAGCTAACAACTAACACTGATTTGATTTCCAGAAATCAACAAAGGCCCAGTCAAACCAGATTTCTCCTTCAGTCTCACTAGGGGCTGTCGTTCCGGACCGCAGCGAAATGGCTGTGGGATAGGGAAGAACGATGGAAGTGGGACCAACGGCCTTGAATCTATCGTCTTCACGTAAGCGGTTCATCTGCCCAACGAGCATGTCAACACCAAGTCTGTTGATGATAGGATGAATTGTCGCCCTGGTACATTGGCATATCTAATCAGATATGCGCATTCGTCTCAAATTTCAGGAATACTCACCGAGTGATCTCTCCTGGTTGGCGATTGAACTCGTAGCATATACCCAACAAAAAGGCACATAGGCCAGGAATCAAGCTTTCAGCGTCTGTTGTCTGGTTGATTGGTTCCACTAACTAGTCCACGAGACAGTCACCATCGGTCAAATCTGAGGATCGAAATCTGCCAAGGAGAAGACGTACCACACCCAAGCCTCCAGTATCTAAAAACTCTCGGACAGCTTTGGGGTCTGTCCAGAGCCACTGCGATAGTAGACACAAGTAGGCTATAATCAATTTGTCCCACTCCCTCGCTTCCTGATCATTTGACTCCATACGCGAACGGGAAAGGAAAGCAAGCGATAGATTCTCATTAAAGAGATGGAGAAGACTTTGAGGCGAATCATCGTCATCCTCGTCTTCTACTTCTGCACCCTCTCTTAGTGGGCCGTCTGCAGGGACGAAAAACTGTCCCTGAGCCGGAGTTGTTGGTACGGCGGTGTGTGGTTTAATCGATCGGGCCAGTGTTTTCGACCTCGAGGAAGATGACAGAAGCTGAGCAAAAAGGAGTGTAGCGAAATGCGTGCTGGTTACGTTAGCGAAGTTGATAGGGGAGGAGGGAGGGAGGCAAAGGGCATAGAGCAGGGGGGAAATGGATGGGATATTGGTAGCTAAAGCTACACATGTTATCAACAACTACACGGAAGAACAACATTATCAAACCTTCAGATGGTGCCATGCCTTGAACAATGGCTTGTCGAATTTCCTCCTTATTAACAAAGTTCTGCAGCACATAAATGCCAACGAGCGGTTAGAATTATATGCTGATCTCACCTCGAAAACAGTAGCAGCAGCACTTCTCAACTCCAGACTCTCTGTAGTTCGTTTATCCCTGTACAAACCATTGTACTCTCCATGTACAGCGAGCTCCACTAATACATCCAGCGCGGAGGCAGGCTCTAAGCGATCCCACTCTTCACCATTCGTCTCAGGCACAGGCATGTACGGAGTAAGTATGACTCCAGAAAGAGGGAAGGTGAGGTTGTCAGGAAGTAACCGCAAGGCCTTACTTGAAATTATTAAATGGATGCTACCCAGTTACAACAGTTGTAGCACTGTACCTGTGTCTTGAGGGGGGTGGGGGCATTAGATGACAGTGCTAACTCCGTGAAGCAGCGTACGAAGACGGACGAATCGGGGGCCTTACAACAGACATCAGACAAAATTATGAGTATGTGTTTATAAAAACTGACACTATTGCCTTTAGAGCTGATGAGCATGCCCATGATACCAATAACCAACGAAACATTGATGAGCTTCTGTTGATCCCAGAATTGTAATGAAAACTCTTGCGGAACTGGGTCTTGGATTTGCAAATTTGGTGGAAATTGTAATAGGGAGCATAGTGATGAGGGTAATGTAGTTTCACGGAAATAACTCTGCAAGTCATTTGTTGGCTTAACCATATAGCGCATGAAGATGACATACTTGATTAGATGTGTTGAAGCGAAGCAGGCCATCAACGCATTTCAGGGCATCCTGAGAAACAATACCACCCTCGACACCATTTTCTTGAGTGACAGTATGAAAGAGCTTCTCGAATGCACCTTCAAATGCTAGCACTTTCTGAATATCAGGACTCTGTGATATGAGGCTCTGAATCAAAGCGATACTTTCTACAAACATGAAGCGGGTTAGTAAACGAAGTAACTTGAATGAGGCAACAACATGTTATGCGTGTGCGTTTGATATATCGCCCAAGTGGTGCACAGTCTCATTAATACATAGCTAAGTGACGCACCATTTTGAATTATCTCCCGTTTATCCTCCAAAACTGCGATGACGCTGGATGCACCTGAGGGTGCTTTGAGAAAGTAACCCTGAACTACTTGCCGCCGGTTCTGGAGAAGTGTCGTCAATAACTGAATGGTTGCGTAGCGTATGTAGAAATTGGAATTCCCAAGAAGCGCGAAAAGCGTGTGGGTGGGCTGCTCCTTTGCCAGCACGTATTCTGTGTGCCGCAAAGCCAAGTCTTTCGTATTCTCGTCCACCTCGCACAGTGTATTCAGGGTCTCCAGAGCAGCCTTCCCTATATCTGGATCTATCTCTGCATCGTTCTGTAAGACTTCTAGGAGCCCTGGCAATGCATTCTCGCCAACATCTTCCTTCCAATCTCGTGTTAAGCCTTTGAGGGAAAGTACTGCAGCGCGACGGTCTGCCAACAATGTACCAGGAGACAGCCTGTCGCTGAGCTTGGTGATGGTTTCAGAAGCAGTCTGAGGCGCGCCTGTAGGTCCCCGTAGGGCGATGTATGTTTGAGAGAGAAAATCCATACGGTCTGGCCGTACTGCAAGCCTAGCCTGGCTGAGAGCAATGAGGACAGCGTTGACCGTCTGGGGTTAGGGTCCACGGCATCTCCCGCAATGCGACTACTGCCGTAACGCGCTCAATTAATACCACAGTGAAAAACTGTGACTTTCAAGAAATTCAAGTTGGCCCATATTTATAGGACCAAAAGTCGTTCAGCATTCTGGTCCCCATATTCATGTCGGCAGACCCCAAGACATGATTTAGGGTTTTGTTACTTCCACAGGAGTTTCTTTGCGGTTTCCACTCTCAAACCAGTCCCAAAAGGTTCTATAGGCCCAAGTCCCTATTCTCCAAGGTATCAATACATCCCAATGTGCCGGTTTATTCCGCGCATACAAGTAATGTTGTCTCAAAGGCCAGACACTATAGTTGACGTGAGTTGTTGCGTGTAACTCTTCCATTTGTTGCTCACGTGAAGTAATTTGCAGTAGCAATAGAGGTAGTCGATAAATTCGGTGTAAATCCTGCAAGTCCGTATTTCAGCTCTGGTATTTACTACAGAAGACCAATATCTTTCTCACCGTGGATACTGCCTGATATCGTCAACGTTGAATACCTGACGTCCAGTCAAGGTTTACATAGTGACCAATCGGTGTTCTTCGAATTGTGATATCCAATTGATGACGCAAAGCCTACGTACTCATCTCCAAGAAACGGCTTCTTAAATTTAACTTCTCCAGAACTCGATTTCTGACACATACGGCCAGGGTGGTGTGAGGTATCATAGCGATGGTAAGCCTGCTATCTTTGTGAGAAGGTGGATACACCTGAGAGTACAAGAACCCATTCACTTATTCACGTCTAAGTATCTTCAATGACATGGACCAATCTTCCTCTGTAATTTCGCTCACCGATTTGTCCTCCTTTATGGGCTCTATCGTCGTTACACGCGTGTTTCTGTTACAGACACCGCTGGCCCATCCGCGTCCAATTTGCTAGGTATATTAATTCACGAACTCATCACTAGATTCACAACGTTTGATTCCAGGCAACCTGTATGAACTCTACCAAGGTCAAGCCGCAGAAGCCGATTTCAAGTGGCAGACCCGGTACGGAGGTATCGTCCATATCAAAAGTGCAGTTGGTGTGCGTTTTTGTTATAACTGTCCGGTGCCGTTGCTAATCCTTAACACTAGTTTCGGTATATAAACAGACTCTAATGTTTTCGAATCCCTGAGTCGCAAGTATGCGTGGCTTTGTTCAAAGGCTACGCTGAATAAGTATATTTCGAAATATCTGGACATGGCTCAGTTAATTTATACGTTTTCAAGTTGACAGCGAAGTGGATAGACATCATCAATAATGTTAAGTACCCGAGCTCAATATTCCTGCTTGGATGTCTCGGGCTACGTTGGGGCGCTATCGGAGATGGTAAACGGCCTTGCATTTCACTTGTTCTTCTTCATCATATCAAGTCGCCTTTGCCCACCAGTCCGGAGTTATCGACGATGACAACAAGAACCCTTTGGCGAAGTTATATAGCAGTTATATGTGAGTCCGTTCACAGCCACCGTTATAAACAGCTGACCGATGCCAAGGCACTAGGGCAGATATGTTCGGGTCCCCCTCTGCACGACAGGTTTTTATTAAAGCTATCTCCAAATATGTGCCTATCAAAGTACTTGAGTTTGTGCACGACCATTCTTCAAGCCCGAGATGTGTACACACTCACCAGATGAAGGAAGCAGTTTCAGTGTTGCAAGGGGCTTGCTCAAGGAAAGGGCGGAGACATTGTTATAGAGAACAGAAAGGGGGGGGGAGAAGTCTTTAGTCTCCTAGGTGCGTGTCCCTGTTTCCAGAATCACAAGAACACCCCATCTTACTCTCTTTAGCAGAAAATACGGGACGAGATGCGAAAGCCAGTCTAACCGAAGAAGAGCTACTGGCACGGATGTTAGTGTTAGTTCGCTTCGTCTGGCATTCTCGTGGTTGTAGAGTTGTAGATGTTTGATCACGAAACTACATCGACCACGCTGAGTTGGGCCCTCTTGCGACTAGCGAGAAATCCCAAGATGCAAACGCAGCCATCCGCTCCCGCGGTGACTCGCAGTTCATCATTACCGACTTCGACGCTATGCCGTAGACCATCGCTGCCGTGAAGGTGAATATAGTTTCGTTAACATTAACATTTCGACTTTGAGCCACGTTTGAACAGCGCTGTTGTGTGAAGGAGGTGCTGAGATTTTACTGTGTGCTTTATTATAGCTACAGGTTCGTGGCCAGAGACGACGCGGTACCCCTGACAAATCCCATCACGACCGTCTCGGGTAAAGCTATGCACGAGGTACCAATTCCCAAGGGCATCCGTATTGTCGCGTCCATTGCGGCTTATAATAGGTCCTCTTTTGTTTTCCGTTCGATTTGTCGAAAGTTCCTCATGTAAATTTCTAGAAACAAATAATTTTGGGGACAGGACGCTGACATCTTCAACGCAGACCATTGGTTGGAAGGTGATGGCAAGAAGGCCACTTCGCTTGGTGTTTACGGGAACCTTTAAGAAATCATGTTTTAGTTACGTCGCTGGACTTGCGACAATAGAATGGCTAACCACCAATGGGTAAAAACTAGGCTAACATTTTCTGGTGGTGTAACATCGTGCATTGGCTGGCGATTTGCGTAAGTGCCATCTCAGATACCCGATCATGGTTGGCTCATAGATGATTGTACTTTTTCCGTCACAGTGACGTTGAGATACAAGTTTTTCTTGTGGAGCTAGTTTACAACTTCGAGTTCTCTCGCTGGGACACAAGGAAGAATATTCGCTGAGAAGCCTGCCGTGTCATGGTTCCGACTTTGGGGGGAGGAGTGGAGAATGAGGTACCGCTTCCTCTGAAGGTATTTCTTGCGCCTCGCGACGAATGAACGGATGGGATTGGAACTAAGTTGAGTTTATTTTCTGGGCGCCCGGCGCCGATGAGCTAGTTACGATAAGGACTTGAAGCCGTTACATGATGGGCCTCAGATCAATCTTGTATCTTACGTGATATTACAACATGTGTTTCTATCTGTGACTCAGGGGCTTGTTTGGTCTGACTCAGAGAGTGTATGTGACAAGTATTGCAGCGGTCCGAGTGGAGATGATTGCACAAGAAGTGAAAAGAGACTCACATAATAACACGGTCACGTCGGTTCAGTTTGTATTGATTATTTGGCATGTGCTAAGCTTGGCAAGTCTAGGACATGGGGCCCGGGGCTGAAGCATTAATAGTGCCTAGCGCTACCGTTTGGACTTTTGGGAAAGGCTGTGGTAGAGTGCAAAGTTGAGGAAGTTACATCACATATAACTTACACGAATAAGTCGCAGCCTCGTGTCTCTGTTAAACGAGGTTAGAAAATGTACGCGATGTTCAATAAACATAATCCTGTAGAAAAACAAGCAACCGAGGCTGCTGCATTCTATATAGTCTGAGTCTCGACCTTGGGATCATTGCCAGCGTCCCTGGCGGAGGCAAATCTGGAGTAGGATGGTTTGTTCCGCGAACCCCGACCTCGGTACAGAGTTTTTCGCCAGTTTTTACTAGATTAGTAAAAATACGGCATAGCACAGCACATTTTACCAAAAAGTGGATGGTAGTAGCGGAGATATAAGTTATTATTATATTGCACCACCTGTCAACGTCCTCACTCCTCTCCTTTTTCTTACCTCTTTAGTGCAAATTGAAATATATGGATAACAGGTTTATACCCTGAATTGCCAATATGTAAAATTTATATCATCTTCTAGTAAGCTGACGGTCAATCTACTCCTCACTGCACCTATCCATTCTTATAAGTACTGCCAGCTCATATATTGTGGGTCCACCCAACACCCAACACCTTATTTCTTTTCGTTCCCTTGGACTCCACATTACTATGGCGAGCTCGACCGATGCCTCTCATGTGCTCACAGACTCCCCTGATTTATCATCAGTTCTCTTGGAGGAGCTGACGCGGATCGTAGCAGGAAATGTATATCCCAGAACCAATCCAAAGTAAGTACTACAAAGATGCACCAGAATCCTTTTTCATTTGGTTCATGTAGCTTCATCGAGTACTCAAAGATGTTCAATGGCAATGTCAAAACAGCCGCTAAAGTTGTCGTCTGCCCTCGTCACGCTCAGGACATCAGCCAGTGAGTATTTGTTGCACGGAGCCCACGCGATTTTGATTGCCATTCCAAATTAGGACCATCATATTCTGTAACAAGTATTCGCTCTCTCTGTCCGTGAAAGCAGGTGGCTATGGTACAGCTGGTTGGGCGGTCGGTGGCGACATCATTGTCGACCTCAGCAAGATAGTTGACACCGACATCGAAATACCACAAAGTACTGGAGCCTTTACCAGTATTCGTGACATGCCTTCAATAGGCAGTAAAGGAAAAAATAGAGCGGGGCCATCTATGCAGGAACCAGCAAGCGGTAAACGACGAAGGGAGGACGACGTTAGACTGCGTGTCTATGATTCGGCTTCACAAGCCGTCGCTAGTTTCCTTCAGTCTCCAAGTTCCAATTTTCCCAGCCCCTACGAGGATCAACCTCCATCGAATTCCCGTCGTAGATTGGGCGTGGAAGATATAACCTTCGATTCACGCCAAATTTCTACGAGCTCATCTAATTCTAGCGGTAGCCAAAGCTCTGGTAGTCAGAATTCAGGCAACAGATTCCCTGTAGCAGCTTCTCATCTTTCGAATCCATTTGGAGGTAATCTCTCCCCGCTATTCCCTCGCCCTGGAGGATCAACCTCAACAGGAGTGACGACGCCATCGCCGCCTGGCGGGTCTATTCAGAAAGCACCCGACGTCCAGGCTCCATCTACCGCTGGTGGAGATCCCTTTGGCTATCTCAACGATGGACCCATCCGACCTCCACTGGCTCCATCCATATATCACTCGTTGGGACCTGCTGCCACTACAATTTTCGGCAGTTCGACACTTCTCGACTCTCCGCAGAACTTGCTCACTCATGCCACGCCCATTCACCCCTTCGCACTCGTGACGTTCGGAGCTGGTATGAGACAAAAAGAGATTGACCAGTTCACCGCTGCCCAACCCTTGGAGGCCATATCTTTCTCAGGTGGGGCTGGTGTTGTGCCTTATCACGTACCCTTGTCGGTCCCCTTTTTGCTCTATTGTTCACATCACTTACTTCATTTCATTTTTCTAGCGCTGCTCACCCCGCTGGTTCTGCCATCATGGTGTTGGGGGGATTCGGTTTCCTCGGTCGACTGCACGGATTGAGTGTTGACAACCTTATTGAAGCCGAAGTCGTACTAGCAGACGGTAGAATTGTGTACGCTAGCGAAAGCGAGCATTCAGGTAGGTTGATTCCAAACCCAATACTGCTGGTCTATTTTGATTTGTGAGGTTAGATTTGTGGTGGGCGCTTCGTGGTGCCGGCCCTGCATTTGGCGTTGTCACAAGGTATAAGGCCAAAGCTTTTCCCGTTCCTGTCGTTTTTGCAGGCAATCTGATCTAGTAAGTTATCGCCATGAGTTTTCCTTCATTGGATAATAGACGTTCAGCTGACGGCGCCACAGCCGCTTTCACCGTGCCACTGCCCCATCCCTCATCAAGCATTTCCGTGACTGCATCAAGGGTGCCCCACGGGAGCTTTATGCAAACGTTCTCCTCACAGCTGGACCTGCAGGCCAGGACTCCCTAGTCGTTATCCAGATGTGCTATGTTGGGCCAAAGGAAAAAGGACAGGAGTACTTATCAGCGATATCCTCGTGGAATGGAGAGACTTGCTTATTAAATGAAGTTGACGAGAAGTCATTCTTACATCAGCAAGATAGTGTTGCTCAGGTTCTCCGCGGAAAAGGTAAGCATTTGTTATCATCAACCCTAAACCAGTTTCTAATGAACCTATAATATTGATGAACAGCTGGAAATAAATGGTTCATTCGATCCGCCTTGATCAACTCTCTTCCGGACGAAATCATCCACAAAACCGTCATTCAATTCTCTGACACGCCCGTCGGTTGCAGTGAGCTAATTCATCTAGTGGCAAGGCGCAATACACTAATGTAGCGTAGCATGGTTATTCGAGTTGGCAGGAGGTGCAATTGCAGACTTCGAGGATGGTTGTATTCCGAAGGCTCAGCGCGAGGCATCATTCACTATTGCTGCGCTGCATCAATGGGATATGAGCTTTAATGATCCTAAATGTGTTCATTCTGCGGAAGAGGTGAGTCAACAATGGTTTACTAGTGTTTGCTCTTGCTGTTTTGCTTAACTGTGGTGTAGTGGATCGCAGAAACGCTGGCACCAGTGACTGTAGGCGGTCCGTTCCCGAGTGTGCGTGTAATCGTCCCAACATTCCACACGCTGTCGCTAATTTTTACACACTCGAATTTTAGTTCTTGGGCCGTTTAGAGCCTCCTGGCCGTATCATCGGATGTTATGGCACTAACTGGTCCCGTCTCGTTGAAATTAAGCAGAAATATGACCCTCAGAATGTTTTCAAAAATTCCTTGTGGCCTATGAATGCTGCAGGGGAAATTATAGATTCTGAGGAGCATGAGCCGAATCACACCCCTTACTGATGAATATGTATCTGGGTCGTTCCATCTGTTGTCATGCTCATGTACGCTATTTCTTGGTTATTAAATGCAGCCAGACTTGAATACTACTGGAATTCATTGCACGTTGCTGTGTATGCACACTGGGTATTACAGTTAATGACTATGGGTGCCTATGCTCCCTATGGTATACGAGCGAAGACTAGTTAAACTACGACTGAACGCTTTTGTACAACATCTAAAAAAGAGAAAGGAATTGACAAAAAAGAAATGTGTCGTGTAAGTAGGAAATGAAAGAATGTGGCATGAACACAAATATCGATAGATGAATGACAGTAAATCATAGGAGATGGATATCACATATGGTACACATTAATCCAATGGAATCAAGAAACTCGCAAGTGCCCATCCAACGTCTTCTGACTGATCACGAACCAGAAGTAGGCAGTCCTCGCCATCATCTACGTACAATGGCAGATCTTCGTGTGTAGACGGGTGTCCATATTCCCGTAACACGCTGTAGACATTTCCAACTTGAAGTGTGAAGAAAGGTAAATTACGATAGGACACTCCATCTGGCGGGCTGCACGGATGCACCGCACGACATAAATATAGTGCACGAGTCTCTTGCAACTCGGCTCGTCGGGCCATTGAAGCGGCAGCCTGGTATGGCGGTAATGGAGCAGTGTCTGTTGTGTGATACGATGGAGCTATAAGGGAAGGTGCACCAAGTGACTTGACTGACGATGAGCGGCGACGGTGACGAGAATGTGATGAGGACGGGCGAAGGCTTTCTGTAATCTTCTTCTTTAGACTTGGACGACGGGCAGGTGTCCGACCACGGTCATCGTCTAGGTCGATGTAAGGCAGTGGGCTTGGTGGAAGGCTGACCTCCCCACTCAACACATGCGACGACGACGTTGTTGACGTACGCACCGGAGGGACCATCGGCACGCTCTTCGTGCGCGACGGTTTCGGTACATGTGTAGGGGATGGCTGTGGGACAGATGTGGGTGTCGGACGCGGTGGGTGAGGGTAGTATTCATACTGGGGCTGTGGTTCTTCTGGACGACTATGTCTACTCGTCTTTGATTTGCCTGATTTGCCTGAACGGAGGCTTTCGTTCGAGCGTCGCTGGCTGAGACCAGTGCCAGCGGCGCTACTCCCACTTCGCCTGTGTGAGCCACCAAAGTCTACTGACCCCTGACTACGGTGTTTGGATGATGTGCTGGTGGGGGATAATGCGTGGGAAGGGTCTAGTGCAGAGAGTGTCGTCGTGACTACAGCTGCAGAGGTGCGTCGGCGTGATGGCCGCTCGACATAAACCTTCTTAGGGTTGATTATGTTCATATCGAGAATGCGGCGTTCTGCATCTGCCCAACGCTCCCACCACACCCTTAGCGTCTCATCTGCCCCAGCATTGCGTTCTCCCTCAACCCTAAGAGCGTCCCACAGATCACCCCATCTATCCCGCACGTCGGCCCAGAAACGCGATTGTAGGCGTGAGAGTTCAAGCACACACATGGCCATGCCTTTGTCGAGCAGAGTAAGGTAGTCTGGGAGCTCGGTGCGAAGCTGCCCGCGCAAAGCAAGGTACGACTGTGATGCCTCGAGCAGAGCTGGAGGAGGTCGGTTCTTGGAGAAGTTGAGGTTAGCTAGGCCATAATGCAATGGTTCGAGGGTGTTCATAGCGTCGATGAGTCGGAAGGGGGCTTGCATCGAGTCTTTAAGACTTGCGAGGTCAAGTAGCAGGCGGTTCTTGATGTCTGTCTCAAGAGTGTTCGAAAGTGCAAGCAGTTCGTCGCTAACGACAGTCATGAATGCATCAAACGCCTCCGATTTCTGAGTTTCCGACAACCCAATTACTTTGCCGAACGAAACCGCCCATTCTCTCAGGCGCATGATCAGCACATGCACCGTAGCCCGCCAATCTACCACCTCCTTTGCAAACTGTTTCACGAACGTTGAGTAGCGTTTGAGCTCAGCTTCCATCGCTGCCACATGCTCCGCTTCCTCATTGTTCTCCTTCAACTTAACCCCACGCAGACTCTTCATTCGACTCAGGTTTACAGAGGCAGTCACCCCAACCCCGACGCCTTTCTTCTTCGGTACCTCCCCCACTTTGGCGCTCAGCACTTCTTTGACGATTTCCCACCGCCTGCGCCCTTCGTTCACGCTGCGTGCGACATCTTCCATACGTGTGCGTGCCAAACGTAAGTTTTCCTTGTCAGGGTGAGCATCTGGTGTCTCAGCGATGATGGCGGCTAGGAGGAGAGGATATTTGAGTAGACGCTGGACGGGCTTGATGAGGAGGGAGGGCAAATCCCACGCGTGAGTAAGTGAAGAGGCGAGCGTACGTGTGCGTTCAAGATATGAAGTAAGGGCTGGGCTGGAGGGCAAAGCATTGAGGTGAGCGAGCGCTGTTGGATGTCGGGTGATATACGTCTTGTATGGGGGTTCCAACGCAGGGATCTATTGTGCCCACTGTTAGAACGACAGTCAGCCAATCTTTATGTATATACTCACAATCTCTAAAAACAGCTCTCCTACGCAATCGTAGCCTAATCCCCCTTCCAACACTGACCCGAGCGCATCCTCGAGGCGCTCGACGAACGTGTCGGAGAACATTGCCAGTTCGGCTACGTTGCTGAAAACAATCTTCGTGTCGTCTCGTGTCATGGCGGGTCCTATCTGCGATGATGACGTTGATGAGTCCGATGCTGTTGACATCGTGCGCGACGACGATCCAGACGATGTCGGCGGGGTGACGGGTGTAGCTACGCTGAAGGGTGCTGGCTGGCCTACGAAAACGGTGAGTATAGAGTAGAACAAAGGAAAAGTGTACCTACCTAGTGCAAGCGGAATGTGAATGTCCCTTATCAATGCGAGATCGGATGCATAAGCACGTTCTGAAGTGAGAAGCTCTAGTAGGGCATGTGTTCGCTTCGTCATTGTCGGCGCAATTGCGAGTGACAACGAGGATGCAATTGACACTGCATCGTCTGTGACGGTAGAAACAGTCGGCTGAGACCCAGGTGAGGCTAACGCGAATGGAAGTGGAGGAACGTTGTCGTCAGGTGGAGTGGGGAGAGCCTTCTCGGGTGTTTTGGAGCGTCGAGAAGTGTGTTTTGCTTGTGCATCGGGGTCGAGAGACTCTAGTAAGGCGGACAAAGAACCAAAACTATGAGACCGTAGTAAAGGCATGACTTTAGCCAGGGCTGATGAAGAGTTTAGGAGGTCTTGTTCAGATGGTTTGTCTGGAGGCTCCTCCTCTTCGAGTTGCCTAGGCTGAGTGGGCTTTGGGGAGTCTGAAGTAGACGAGCGTGGAGGAGGTCTGAGCGGAGAGCGCGGAGGAGGAGCGGGAGGGGAAGTACCCGGGTTTGGGGAGTCCGATCCTGAGGTAGGTGTGATATCGAGAGAAGAGCGAGAGGATTGGAGCGAAGTGGAGTAGGGAACTGAGTTGGGCGAAGAAGAAGAAAGATCGTTTAAACTTGGCGGACGTTTGTAGTTTGAAGGAGGACGGGCGAAACCCACGCGGCGGGAGTGAGGCACTTTGCGGATGAGATTTGTCGAATCGTAAGGGGATGAAGAAGCGAAGCTCGCGTTAGTGCTGGTAGTGAGAGAACTGGGAGGACATCCAAAGGTGTCGATAAGGTCCTGTACGCTGCCCGTGTCCTCGAGGCTACGAAAGAGACTCGTGGCGTTTACTATTTCCGTAATGTCCGTACTTGGTTTAGTAGGGCCATCGATAGAGTCCGAGGCGGCCAGACCGAGCTGTTGCACAACATTAGTGTCATTTGGCATGATATCAGTTCTGAAATCGCTTTCTGGCATTACAGAAGCGCTGTTCGTCGGGCTATGTTAATATCAATAGAATTTCGTAGATATTGGAGTTTGAACTGGGGCACGCTGCTTCAACGTTGCAGGTAAAATTGGTGACGGTTGATAGCTGCTCTGTGTATAGACAACGGTACTACAACAGACTGCGAACGGAGATCAGTGATAGACTGAATGGCGTTTAATGGGTGCTGAGACAACGAGGAACGCTAGAGCTCACCAAGTGAAGGTGTTCTGGGGATGTATGGGCCCGTATATGCTGTAGCTCCCTGTTCCTGTATCACCCTAAGCTATGTATGTCTTATCTGGCTTGTTTTGCCGCTGTGCTAATTTCTTCAGTTCGCCGTACCTGCTCTGATCCTCGTTCACGCACGTTCGGGCCAAAGTCCCCGCTGTCGGCCGAGATAGAGAAGGCCCCGCCTGAACGTTCGAAGCTGGCAATATCGATGGCGAAGTGTATGTCGGGCAATACAGGAAATGAAAAGATAAAGGCCTGGTCGCGATTCCCCGCAGTCCAGCAAGCCCCAAAGCAACTCTTCTTGCACTGAGCTGGCATCGGCTCGTCCGGGCTGTCATTTCCGATACTTTCCTTATTCAGCCATATCTACCCGGTTCCACAGTCATGTGCTCACTCCCGTGCCGGAAAACATCCCGACCCGCATGGAGTTGGTGACAACCTCACTATAACCAAGGTTTGAACATTTCAGTCAGTCTACTTGTAAACGGAGTCGGTAAGCTCGTCCCCAGTCGTTCTTGAGTGAAATTTTGAGTATTGTGTATTTCATGTGACCTGTTGCCGCAAAAAAATCACAAAACTTGAAGGTCCCTCAAAAGAAATGAGCATATCTTGCCGAGGATTTATTGTAGCAAGAAACCACTGTTATTTTTGTGATGCATGAGGCATTCTGCAGTATGTGTTATACATCCAATGCAAAGGATAACAGGGTTTGGCAATTGCATTTTGGTAGACCCTTTATTGCTGAGTAATTGTGCATGGGAATGGAAAGAATGATTAGTGGTGAGTTTGCTGAACATTGCACTTGAACATTAATCTCAACATCCTTTCCAGCAATGCCTGCAGGCTGTCAAGTGTCTATGGAGATCCAATGGATTGTCATCTGCTTCCTAACAATGTCACAGCTGAGTGAGGATGAAGTGGCAGATTGTATAGGAGTCTCAGTTTGCACAGTAGAACACATTATGAAATATTTCACACAATATGGCATACTAGAGTCTCCAGAATCACAGAACCTGTACTAACCAATAGTTTTTACCACACCTAGGACTGTATTCTCTGATCTTGACATTCAGGTAAGGTCACTGTTGTCAGGCAACTGATATGAAGCTATATAACAAAACCAATATCAGGTCAGGTTCTTGTTGATTAGATAATGAAGCTGAGTATGGCTTTGAGGAGTATCAATATGAGCTTGAATCCAAATTAATATTGAACTAAGGAATAATATATGAAGTATCTACTCCTTATAACTCCTTATATAGTGAACAACAAGGGTCAGACCAATCAGGGGAAAGAATAAGAAAGTGGTCTGACTAAGTGCCTAACCAATAAGAAAAAGAAAAAAGTGGTGTAATCTATCATAATTACTAATTGTGTGGAAAGGTCCTTAGCAAGGGATGTACAATTGGCTAGATCAGTAACCCCATGCCTTCATCAACTGTATAGTACACATGTACAAATAGTCTGTAGTAGTATAAATACCCCAATAGATCAAGGAGACTCCTCAGCGAGTCCTCCTGTTATTTACCCATCACAAACTTGGTCCTACCATAAGGAAGATTATCCTCTCCTCCACTCACCACTCTCTGCCTATCTTATTGTGTGCCAGAGTATACAAACTTTGGTTGTTACAGTGAGAGCCTAACTTTTATGTTGAGTTAACAGAAAGTCAAGTAGTTTAATTGCAAGCAGTGACTTGCGCTGACTGAGCAACATACGTAAAGCATGAAGCAATTGGTAAGTGTCTAATGTATGTCATTTGTCACGTGATTTGTAATGTGAATAATGATAAGATAAGGTTGGGAGAGATTATAGATATAGTAGATTTATTATTATTATTGGTTTTAGATAGGGTAGAAGTAAGAGATTGTGACAAACAACTAGCCAGAGTATGGAGCTGATTGTCTGGTTGTTCATTTTCTAATTGGCACACCTGGTGCCCCATTTTGATGGTCTATGTGTCCCTCTTGACCACAACTATAGCAGTTCCCTCAAATCTGTGCATTTGTCCACCCTGGACTGCACCAATATCCATAGGGGCCCCCTGCCCTGGTTGCAGCTCAAATGGCCTAAACCCGTGAGAATAATTTTGATTTTGATTTTGATTTGATGACCCAGGACACCTCTGAGAAGTGTTGTTATTTTTGTAGGTGGGCACACTGCCAAATTGCATTTAGTGGAGCTCCTGAGCTTTGCCAATGTCTTGGACTGCTTCTGCTGCTTCTGACAGGTTGTCCTCCCTTCTGCCCTGTATGTAGAGCTGTTGGGCGATGGCTGGTGCCATATTTTGTTCCAACAACTCTACTGTGTGTTCATTTCCAAGGCTCCTTTGGATTAAGAGGGCCAGGAACCGAGTAACAAAGTTGTCTGTCCTTATGTGTCCTTGTCTGAAGGAACAGATTTGCTGGTGTGCCCAGTCACGCTCAGTTTGTGGCTTGAAATATTTTTCAACCTTTGCCTTGAGGTTGTCCCAGCTTGGCCAGAAACCAGAAGTATAGCACCCCTGTAATTGTACTTGGGCATATCAACCTGCCACAGGTCCTTTGAGTCACAACAAGACAGCAGTTCACCCAAATCTGGAGCTTAATCCACCATTCAGCAAATTTAGCCTGGTCTTTGTCAAAAGTGCTGGGGTTAGCAACAATATCAACCTTTTTGTTGAATTTTTGCAAGGGGTTAGCCTGAAGCCTGCCGCTCTGAGTGGTTAACACCACAAATTTTTGTTCCATCCTGTGAAGGAGATGTAACAACCAAGAGTTAGTTACTCTGGCGCACAACTCAGACAAGCAAAAGGGAATACCAATCAACAGTATGTACCGTTGACTGGTCAGAGAGTAATAAAAGGGATCACCCCTTAGGTTTCAACAAGTTAGTTGTGAGGATACAACAAGAGGACTCACTGAGGAGTCTCCTTGATCCATTGGGGTTTATATACTGTTACAGGTTTGTTTGTATGTATGTACTATACAGTTGTTAGAGGCAGTGGCTGATGATGTCATAGAGCCTAGCCCGTATACACTCCACTGCGTGAGAGAGTTGTATCTAAGATAAGAAGAAAGGTAGTGCAGTGCAAGAAAGTGGAGTTTGAACAAAGGGAAAGTGCTGCATGGCACAGAGTGTGAAAACTATAGTAAAGGTTAAAGCGGAGAATGAAAATAAAAGGAAAGGTCCAAAAATGTGTTATCGTAACAGGAGAGCATTGACATCCACTTGTTGCTTTGGTTGCACCAATATAACAACTTGTTTAATGTGTAAAAGTAAAAAAATGCAATTGGGGGTCCCCACTTGCTGTTACAACTGACATACCAGCGCCTGTGTACTTATGCTTCACTTTTGCACTTTTACTTTTCATTTTCCAAGTCACATGACTGATTATGTGACCATTGACTTTACTTTACATTTTGGACTTTTCATAGTCACATGCTAGACATTAGACTTTGAACTTTATTCCCAACTGTACAGTACCACATATATTTTAGTATATATACATATATACTGGAGCAATACATGGGGAGGGACTCAGTGAGTCCTCTTCTAGTGTCTACCAACATTAGTAGTATTGCCGCAGTTTGTAGCTCAAACCAGTTAAAACCGGTGGGAAATTATGTGACCAACTAAACCAAGGTTTGGCTTACTAATGGTTATTTATAGTTTGATTTTTAAAAAATTGTGATTTAAAATAGTTTGTAACTGGTGGAAACCATTTATGCCCATTACGCTCCTCTGTCCACTTATCAACATTCTTATATGTGCTAAACGCAAATGATACTCTCTTCCCTGCAGTTTATACTACCTCCTAAATAAACAACAGCTATATCTCCAAGGCTCCAACATGCAGTGGGCTCCTGTGTGTATGCTAACATTGCAACAGTAGGAGATGCTAAATCCTAACCCTACCCTCTGTGCACATCTGCGCACAGAAACCCTAACCCCAATAAAATGCAGCGAGAGCATGGAGACCACAGCCAGTAGACTCCTTGACTTTAGCAGAGAACAGATTGTAGACACTGATAGTGGATGAGTTTATTGGTAATCAAAATATCAGAATGAGATACTTGCTAATTCCATGAGAGTGACCAATGGCATTGTCAACCTGACTGATGAGATAAGTGGGATGACTAAAGAAAGTGCCATCTCAGTTTGGAGTCAGTTATAAATTGAAACTAAACTGAAACTATGGTTTGTAATTAAATTGATTTCTATAAACCAAATTAGGCATTAACTAATAATAACTGAATCAAAACCAATCATAACCAAACTGCAGCAACACTAAATATTAGTATAGCAAGTTCCCTCCTTTGATAGGTTGTATGCTTCCTTTCCTCCATTGAGTTGTTGTTGTTGTTGTGCTCCAGTGCCCCAAGACTGTGTCTTGTTGGCGTTGTCACAGATGAAGCAGTGCAGCGCAAGAAAGTAAAGTTGGGAAGGAAAGTGCCATATAGCACAAAAGTCTAAAAGAAAGTTGAAACAGAGGCTAAAGGTTTGAAATTCTGAGAATTGTGTATTGTAACACCAGAGACATTGTGTTATCCTTTAATTTAGCCTGCTGTCAACAATGGCAATATCAGCAATGTGTCCAATAATGACTCCATTGAAAACATAGTCTTCAAGGATAGTAGCTCAGGCCTCCCTACAAGGATCACATGGGCCTCATCATATCATCATATACTGATTGATTGCTGGACCAAAATGCTAAAGAATAACACTTCATTTTCTCGGACAACCCCAGCCAAGACCCTACAGAATATGTATACAATCTACTATTTCTGAGGAAGAGGAAGTCATGCCAAAGCCATGCTGAGCAGCAGTCTGGCATTCAAGGACACCACCCTACTGGCAGTGCTCATGAGTCCATGGTGCCTGATTGCTCACAAATTTTCAATCTTAATGTGAGTATTTTCTACAATTTCTATGTGGCTGTACTAATACTATTACAAAAGTATGCTGAAGGGCGGCCCTGGATAAAGGATCCCCCCATAGCTGTGAGATAAAACTGGTCTCAGACACTGTCAAACTGGGCTCTGTTGTTGTCAAACAAGCTTCCATGGGGCTAACAAGGATTGAATCTGCTGCAACAGACTACACATGGGAACTCCTTCTATATTGGATCACTGCTCTCACCTGTATTTGGTGCATCTGGCGATCAAGACACTCTCCCTCATCCTTTCTCCCCACCTAATGTTGCTTCATTGGCTCCATCTCTTAAAATGGAGCAAGCAGCCAATATAGCAGTAAACTCCCTTTTCAGTGACACTTATAATGGCCTGTTACGATAACACAATTTTCGGACCTTTCCTTCATTTTCATTCTCCGCTTTAACCTTGTATACTTTAGCTTTCACACATGGTGCCACGCGGCACTTCCCCTTTTGTTCAAACTCCTCTTTCTCGCGCTTCATTGCCTTCTTCTTATTTTAGATACAACTCTCTCACACAGTGGAGCTGGTCATGTGGGCTAGGCCCCATGACATCATCAGCCACTGACTTTATCAACTGTACAGTACATAAGTACAAACACTCTGTATTAGTATATATACCCCAATAGATCCAGGAGACTCCTTGTTAACCAACAAACTCTCTGCAGCCTAAGGGGTAACCACTCCCCATTCACTACCTTTATAGTGTGTTCCTGTGTGCGCCAGAGTAGCTAACTCTTGGTTGTTACATGGCCTGCTTTTGTCTTTTTTTTCAGGGAAATCACTCATTCTCCTCTCTCAACTCTGCATTTTCCAACTTTCAAATCGACATATCGGCCAAGCAGCAGAAACAACCTCAGCCCACTCAGTCTCCTATCAGTGTCTCACCTACCACAAGTATCTGTGGGGGTTCTCAGCACCTAGCATCCATGGTGGTTATTGTGCTGCAAGTATCTTTGTTGGGGATACATTACACACATAGTTAGCAGCATCAGGGAAAAAGCTGGTGGAAAAACAGAAGATAACCAATGATAGAAGCACTCTTTAGGCCAACAACAATGAAGGTGGCAAGGGAAAGGATAAAGATGATGAGAAGTTTTATGAAAAACCTTGTAAACACTAATGTTCTCACCTTGAAGGTAGCATACTGATTGTGCAGAAGATGATGGAACCTGTTGTACAGGCATCAGAAGAAAAGAACAAAACTGCAAAGGACAAAATAGCAGCCAAATTAGCATCCAAGTCTGATGATATTGTGCTCAGAAATGCCTAATATCAAGCTGTGATTGAAAAGGTCTAATATAAGAAAGTGGAAAAGGAGCAGGCAACAATTGTTCTGAAGTATAAGCACTATAAGGAGAATTTTGATTTGCATACCAAGGCCAAAACAGTTCACCGGCATGAAGATCAGCAGCACCAGAATGATATGCTCCAGATGACACTTGATTTTATTCAGGTTGTTAAGGACATTCCTAGTATCAATAATGGAGCTGTCTCCACTCTCCTTGCTAATATGTTGGCTGCTGGCCTTGTCAATCACTTATCTTTATCTATGTCATCCATAATAATGAGGATCTGTCCTTCAATTACAATAATGTGTAGCTTTGAGTCATTTTGAATAGCTGTAGTCAGACATATTTTTTATTCAAGAACATATGCTTTCATGCTGTGTTGCTTTACTATCTGAGTTGGTGTGCTATAGTATTTTGAGCATTGTAACACATTTCAGAGTCGCAAACTGTGAATAAATTGCATCATAAGAAACAGCCTATTTATTTAACTACATGTACAAGTGGCTACTGATTAAATCAAGCATTAAATGATGGCAGAAAATTTGGCCATGGGTGGGTAGTTTTTGAGCTGGAGAAGGTTCATCCCCTTGCGTTGCCTATGTACATTGCTGTCCCATTCACTTGGGTACACTTATCTTTTGTCCATCTACAGCTACACCTACCACACACTGCCTGGGACTCACTTGTTCCAAATTGGAACTACTCCCCTCCCTCCCTCGTTTGACTAGGTGGTCCAATACAACCAGTCCATTGGTAAGGCCATGAAACCATCAGATTTGGACTAGGTGGTGGACCAGTGGCTCCAGTTTCTTTTTTTTTTTAGCAGAACATTCATTTACAGTGCAATTAATTTTGATTTTTGAATCATTTTTATGGACACATATTTTTTTAGAATTCCTGACTGACAATAAAGGAACTGTGTTGATACTGATAGTGTTTTGCCTTGCCCTTTTTTTACTGCATCTTCCCATGACACCATGATTTTCCTGCTCTCTTTTTGCTATTGGACTTTACTTTATGGCTGTACAAACCTGTGATATTACTCACAGCATTTATTGTTCTATCCCTTTTTTTCCCTTTTTTTTGACGATCTTATCCTGTACTACCTACACAGGATTTGTCGGCGTACATTCCTTCCTTCATGTTCTTTCTCATTCTTTTTGCACAGCTATACTGTGCATAGCCTACTTTTCTTTTACTATATAAACCCCTGTATTTTACCTTGTAAAAAAACAACAAGAACTCCAATCCAGACTTTTTCTCTAATCTCAAGTTCGCTACTCTGCTACTTGTGATCTGGTGTGGTCACAACACTTCACACTGCACTGTTAACTGCTGTCATCATCACTTGTCACTTTTGAAAGTCATTGCCATCCCTTTCAATTAGAGTCCCTCCGAGCACTACAGTTTGTGTGTCAGGAGCCTGCTATCACTGGGAACCTCGTCATCTTGTCGTTCTCAAACCTACCTTGTGCTACGATTAGCAAGGTAGTGCTCGTCTATACTCGCCACAAAGCCCCTA